TGAATGGGAAATGGTTTAGCAATGAGCTTTAACAGTGTGGCTTGCCAGAAACAGCAAACCACAGAAGCAGCACAGCCCCTAGCTCTATTCTTATGTAAGATTTACATTGTTATTGTAACTGTCTTTAGAATGGAGAGATGAATTTGTATCTCATAGATCACTGTACTAGATATATGTAATGTGGTGTAAGCCAGATGTGGACTGTTTGGATGTTTTTCTTTGACGCCGTGGAACCACAGTAATTTGAAGTGTAATGGCCTGGGTTGTATATGGTGGATGACAGGCATGGTTGTACAGTGCCATAACTAAAATATTTTTATTGTGACTGAAGAATATGCTGATATTTATTTATCGTTATTTTTTTTAATACACAAACATAGGCCCTATTTGATCCTTAGCAACAATTTAAAGTGTAGAGATAAATTATGCCATGGCAAATTCACAGTTCACGGTCAGCTTGTTGCTCTGTGTTGCGTCACCGTTGCTCATGGCAGTGGATATGCGACAAATTGAGCTAATCATATGCAAATATTCACATGTGACATTAAATAATACTGTATATATTTGTTTTTTTCCAAATAAGCAACTACACACATAAAACAATATTTATTATGACATTACAAATGAACATCAAGTTAAGAGATTAGAGATTAATTAATTTTATTACGTGACAAGTTACAAAAACATAATATTTTTTACCAATTCATCAAGAGTGTATGTAGGGCTATGGAATTTCTAGAATATATTCACAATGATTTCATTGTAATAACTGTTAAGCATCATTTTGAATGTCGATATGCAAAATTAAACATTTTAAATATGTTAGAAAACAATGGCTGTTTGTCAAAAGTATCGTTCCTCTGAAAAAAGTTTTGAGATTGAAATTTGAGAGCAAATATATTTAAATGCATCAAATACTGTATTTTGAATGAATATTATGGAAAGTTTGAAAATGTTGGTATTTTTTTTAGCTGTAACACCCAGCCTATATACAATACTATATACAGTACTGTGCAGAAGTCTTATGCCGAGTTCAGACTGCATGATTTTAGCCACTAATTTTGGCTCGCCGACAGGTTTTGAGAAATCGCCGACAAATGCCCGAAATCACAGGCAAATCGGCGCTCGTTCACGCGAGTGACAATCACGCAGTGTGAATGAGCAAAGACGCGAACTGAGAGAATCACAGACGAGTCGCCGACGCCCGTGAGATATTTGGCATGCTAAATATCTGGACCTGTCGGCGATTCAAAATGAAAATTACATGTACAAAATCATATGGGAAAGAACAATAATTTATGAACTTTATTCCCAAAACAAATTCTGTTTAAATCAGTAAAACTGTTAGCTTATTAGCTTATATAGCTTATATATATATAAATTACAAAATGTTTTTAATAATGAATCCATTTAGTCTGTAAATATTTTATTAATCTGCTAAAATTATGTAATGTTTGATTTCAATTTGTTTGAATGAACAAATTGAGTTAAAATATGTTAAATAGAAACATTTCTTTCTTTGTCAGAAGTGTTATACTGTTTTTTTATCTTTATTGCATACATGTTCAAATACACACTTAAACTTTTCAAGTCTATTTTTGACCCTAATTAACTGATCACTAAACTGTGAGAGAAAGAGAGAGAGAGAGAGAGAGAGAGAGAGAGAGAGAGAGAGAGAGAGAGAGAGAGAGAGAGAGAGAGTTTATTTGTGTGGGAGGCTGCTGTATCCTAGCAACAGTGACAACCAGGGACTAATAGCAGACTTCATTACACATACAGTATGTGCTGAATGTTGGCACACTGCCTTTCAAAACAAAATCAAATTATCTTTGTGTCTTTCAACCAAAAGACCTTAAAGTGTTGAGAGTGTAAGAAATTCAGAAATAAAGATGAGGAGTAGATGACATTTGCTGGATTCCTCCTCCTGTCGGCAGATCCCAAAACCTTCTGATCATGTTCGTTTGTGATGATTTAATATGTAAGAATACACTAAGTCATGGCCTGGTAGTAGGCTATTGTATCCCCACTCTTTTGTGTGCGAGGGTTTGTTTGTAGTTTGTCATGTTCAGATCCTTGCTTTGTTTTCTCGGTTAGGGTCATTACTTATTATGTACTGTATACTTAGGATGCTTTGTATTTTATTTTTTTGCATTTGGATAACATCCCAGACAGCAAACTGACATTGAATCAACGTGGAAACGACGTCTCTCATGACATTGAAACAACGTTGATTTTGCTCATCGAATTAACGTTGAACCAACGTCAGACGCGGCATTCTTCAAAGCTAAATGAAAATCGAAAATTGGTTTGCTTTCATAACGTTGAAACAACGCGTTGATTTCAAGTTGATTTTCCGTTAGTTTTGAAAGAATGACGCGTCTGACGTTGGTTCAACGTTAATTCGATGAGCAAAACTATGTCAGATCAACGTTGTTTCGATGTCATGTTTCTACGTTGATTCAATGTCAGTTTGCTATCTGGGATCCTGTTTTCTCATATGTAAAGATTTGCTAATGCAAAAATTGATTTTGTTAATAAAAATACGAACAAAGTAACAAATTACAACCAATAAGACTAAGATATCAAATAAACAGTGTTTTTCAGATTTGAATATTTCAGTTTACAAGTCATTTGGTTAATAGCAGTGAGTAATTTCTCTTTTTCTGTTGGCATTTGATTAACAGAAAGGGCATACAAATATACTTTGTGTATTTGACCATTTAATCGATTGAGAACTCAATTCGGGATTGCAGGCTGACAGGCGGGTTTCTGTGTACGTAGCCTATTCTTTCTATTCTTATTATTCTTTTTAGTCCCATACTTTACTTTCTCATTCATGCATGTTTCTTATCACTCTAACTTTAGGTAGTAGTATTATGACATTTTTGTGATTATTATACAATTAAATGAAAAGTTATGCAAGAATGGAACGTTTTTTCGACTTTAGTCAGCGATGGCAGAATCAAAAAGGGGGGGGGGGGGGGGCTTGTTAATGTATGCTAAGGTTCTCTTTACTTTAGAGAGGTTATGTCAGGTCATGCTGTTTTCTTCCAGTACTATCCGTCTCCATGTACAAACATGCTTTTGAATCTTTATTAGTTCAGTGACCACATGTCCCACAATGTTTTACTCAATACATTTTTGTGTAAATGGCCTGAGTCATTGATAACGCAGTAAAAACAGCTGGCATTCCTATTTGAAAAGCTGGATCAGATCTTACAGGCAGCTGAAAGGGACAATTATCTACAATTTAAATTTTATTTATTTATTTATTGATGGGGGTTGAATTTAGAAAACCACAGGAAGTGGAAAAAGTACAGGTTGGGGATGTTTTTTTGGAAGCTGAATCTGTTTTGGTTTTTTAATCTATTTTATTACAGAAGAAACCAAGGCTGCAACTAACAATTATTTTAATAATCGATTAAATAATTGTTTGATTAATTGATTAATGGGATAAAAAAATAAAAATAAAAAAGCATTAATTTCCAACCCTTTATTCAAAAACAAAACTGACAGTGCAAAAAACGTCCAGTGCAAAAAATGGATTAACACAAAAGCCAAATATATAGGCTTTTTAAAAATAATGTGCAAAAAAGATGTGTGTTTTTGTTAAAAGGGACCTGAGCTGTCAGAACAATAAATAATTTATAAAAAAATAAAGAAAAATACAAATCAGAAAACTAGGGATGCACGATATATCGGCCACATTATCGGTATCGGCCGATATATGATCATTTTTAATATTATCGTTATCGGCCCAACAAGAACATTTAGCCGATATCTAAAAGCCGATAAATAATGTATTATTTCCTTCAGCTGAGGCACTTTAGATTCGCACTGTTCAACATGATGCTTTTAATTTGCTTGAAATACGATTGAAATCAATTTAAAAAAGGAAAATCCAGTTAAAGTGCAAAATATGCAGCGCAAGTCTGTCATATCGGCTACACAACATTAAAATAAGAACATCATAATTGTGTTTGTATCTTGGCTTTTAATGAGGAGACTTTTTTATAATCAGGCTCTAAAAAATTGTCTAAAAATTTGGATTTAGATTTATCGGCCAAAATATCGGTTATCGGCTTTCAAATATAAAGAATTATCGGTTATCGGTATCGACCAAAATTGTCATATCGGTGCATCCTTACAGAAAACCTAAAGGGATAGTCGGCCGGCAAAGAGAGTGTGTATGTTTGTGCCATTTTTGCTATCAAGAAACTTTGCATATCTAGAACGAATTCTGTTCTCAGGGGAATGCATTTGTTTTGACCCAAAAAGGGGGCGTTACACTTCGATGACGCAAAAGTAGCGTTGGTCTATGTCTCGTTCCCGCCTCTCAGGGAACTGAGGTTACGATAGTAACCGGTGACGTTTGTTAAACAAAACCAATCACTGTTCCCTTGTGTGGAAATATTCCTGCCTTTTATGTTTGTGATCAGTTGTTGAATTAATCTGCCACTGAAATTTGTGTTTGTTAAATTAGCAGCAGAAAAATTAGCCTGTGACTGGGGGTTTTGAATGTCGGATGTTTCATCGGAATTACCGATTGTGGTTTGTGCTGATGTGGTCTCAGTGTATTCTGGCATTTTACAGCACCATGGTGAGCGCTGTGTTTATGTTTTTATTGGTTTCGTTTCTAAACCACTGGGATGATGTAAAGTTGAAGTAATGATAGGCTAGCAAACACAACGTCCATTCATTCACAGTCTGTGGAGAGGCTCATTTTTATTATTTGTTAGCACTTTGATAGATGTTCAACAGCAGCCGCCGTATGCCATAGATTCAACACATCCTCTGTATTTTTGGTTGTCCCGTGTGACTAAAGTGATATTACAGACCTTACCACGTCCTTGACCTATCACATCATTCCATTTTAATTATGTTTTTAAGTGTTACTAATACCTAGCCTAGCCTGCAAACCCTGGACCAAGTAACTTTTGTAACTTTTAGCCGTTCACCTTTTTCTTCTCCTGAATATGTTCTGAATTTGTCTTTTGCAGAAACTGAAGTGAGGAGCTTCCTGTGACCCCATCTTCTGCTGATCCCCTTGACTCCTCCCTGAGGAGACATGGAAATCAAGGGGGATGCTGGGATTGAGGGTTTGTTGGTACCCAGCCCACAAAGTGAGGCTGTAACCCACGAAATGGGCGAACTGACCCTGCACCCCGGCCAGAGGCTGCTTCCCCTTAACGAGCGCAAAAATGGTAAGTAATTTGCTGGTAAATGGTAAAAAAATTGCTGGATTGAGCCTTGGGATGCACAATGTAGCATCGCCATTTTCGTTATTAGTCAATATTTAATAAATATTGGCTGATATTGAATATTTCATTGTGCATGCTCATTTTCATTTTTAAAATGACGCCATCAATGCTTCTATAAATGTTTAAAATCAGGTGTCATCTAATGCTTTTTAATGTTTTTTTTTTCTTGTTTAATGTATCTGTTTGTGCATTGCATACGAAGTTACAAAGCTCATAGATAGAGATAGATAGATAGATAAATACTTTATTCATCCGTTAAGGAAATTCAAGTTTCCAGTAGCAACAATTAATTAAATAAAAAAATAAAAAAAATAAAAAAAAGGCTAAAAATATATACAAAATTAAATAAAAATGTAAAAAATAAAAGCCGTATCGCCTGAGGGACAAAAGACTTCCTCAGTCTGTCGGTGGAGCAGGACAAAGAGAGCATCCTGTCGCTGAAGGTGCTCTTCTGTCTAACAATGATATTGTGCAGTGGGTGAAAAGCATTTTCCAGGATAGAAGAAAAAAATAGTCTCGCACAAAGCGTACATAGTCTCGCACAAAGCGATTTATTCTGTCTAACACACTGATCCCAACCTGCCTGTAACTCCTCGATCAAAGTCCTTGTATTACTTCCTCAAACGACCATGTCCCAGTGTGAAATGTTTGCATAATGCTCATCCAAAGGCATAAACAAACAAAGAAATAAGTTTAGGTTTTGGTGAATTCAGGTGTTGTCATGTCACAGAAAGCTTGTGATTATGGTAAGAGCCGTTACAGTTTTGTGTCTGGCCAATCACAACGTGCTGGGTCAGCTGGCCAATCACATTATTCTGAGTTTTTCTGAAAGAGGGGCTTTGTTGAAATCAGAGCGTTTCAGACAGACTGGTAATAGAGGAGCTGCAATAATTTACAGTAAGCCTATTTGAAATAAAATGTGTTTTTTGAACATCAAATCATGTTAAAGGCATAGTTCACTTTGAAATTCATTTTTGGTATGTTTTAGTCTTTGTTTCCAGTATTTTCAATTTTGATATTTTTAGGTCAAACCGTTTGTGTCTGTCAGTCATATAATGGAGGTCTATGGTCACCACCTCAAAGAGCGTGCACAGAGAAGTCCAGATTAAACATGATTTAATGACTCGTAAATGTATAAGTACACATTGATGGCATAAGACACGAAACGAGCGGTTTGTGTGAGAAAACAAACAGTATTTATATCGTTTTTACCTCTTGTAATCACAGCCACGTCCAAGTGATCTGAAGGCACGGGCACTTTGTGGCTGTGGTTACAAGAGGTAAAAACGATATAAATACTGTTCGTTTTCGTGCCTTAGGCCATCAATGTGTACTTACATTTACGAGTCATTAAATCATGTTTAATTTGGACTTCTCTGTGCATGCTCTTTGAGGTGGACCCCATAGACCTCCATTAAATGACTGACAGATACAAACGGTTTGACCTAAAAATATCAAAATTGAAACTACTGCGAAACAAAGACACATACATCTTGGATGCCCTTGAGGTAAGCTAAAACATATCAAAAATGTATTTCAAAGTGAACTATCCCTTTAACTGTTACACCCAGTAATCAAAATAACAATGTTAATTAAATGTATTCCTTTCGCAAATCTTTTTCTTCTTTTTCAGACCGTTCATTGTAGTCTTGTGATGCTTAAATTCACTTGTAAAACTAAATTTGTTTGTTTTTTATACATTTGTTCAGAAATTTGGGGTCAGTAAGATATTTAAAAGAAGTCTGATATAATCAAAAATATTTCAATTCAAATGATCGGTTTTATCTATTTTAATGTATAAAAATATACAATATTTTTTAACATGATATTTCTGAAATCATTCAAGAAACAGATTTTTATCACAGATGAAAATGTTTGTGCTGCTTTATATTTTTTTAAGACATTTTTCCAGGATTATTTAATGAATAGAAAGCAGAACAGCATTTAGTTATTTTGGAACATTCTTTTGTAACATTATAAATGGCTTAACTGTCATATTTGACATAATATATATATGAAGAGTTCAGATGCAAAAGCCTCTAAGTGCCATTTGAAATTTTCTTCTTTAATGATGATTTTTATCAAGCTTGTATATTTAAGTTCAGTGATTTCACTTAAATTATTTAAGTGAAATTACTGAATTTAAATATACAAGTTTGATAAAAATCATCATTAAAGAAGAAAATTTCAAATGGCATTTAGAGGCTTTTGCATCTGAACTCTTCATATATATATATATATATATATATATATATATATATAATGCAGCAAGGATGCTGAATAAAAGAAGACCCCAAACTTTTAAACTGTAGTGTATATTTATACAAAATAATATAGCTTCAGCTTTTTATCAGTAATAATGTGAAAATAAAACATGTGGTGAAGATGTTAGTTTACCTACAGCTCAGACAAATCAGCTTCTGAAGCCCGTTTTATTCTTGACACATCTGATACTGGGAAATGGTGGGCATTCCGAAAACAAAAAACAAAAAGATATTTCCATTTAGATGTCCCTCTTGGCTAAATGTTATTTTTTAATGTGCCCATTTTTGGTGAATTTATTGCGAAGATTAAAAGTTGGCCATGTCTGCATTGCCCGATTGGTTGTAATCACATCCTTCCTAAATTCCGCTATTTCATTTTGGCGATTCACGCCACATCCTGTTTAGTTTTGCCTCTATTTCCAGGTGATTAAATAACGTTTTATTTCTGTACCTGTTGAAAGAGACGCTATTTTTCCATTCCGTCACCCTCATTCCTCCATGCGCAGAAGCAGCCTCCAGAATCCTGACATTTCTTTCCCTCTTAGTTTGGGTGCAGACATTTGATTGACATGTGAAAGGTCACAAGACAGCGCTGTGTGCATGCGTGAGAGCTGCTCCTACAGGTCTCTAGCTATGCTGAGGTCACACCGTCACAGTCAGTGGAAATGTAAACCACTTTGGCAGAGCATGGCCCGTGTCAGTTACTCATCCTCTGGTTGTCTGTCAAACAAGATGCTTACTGTTTTTTTTTTTTTTTTTTTTTGTTTCAAATCTTAAAAGTAAAGCATTCGTGATCCATCTGACCTTACAGAGAAAGTGAATTGTTCGTCTATAAAACTTTTTAAAAAGAGAGGTGCACTTTGATATGAACTTTTAGTGGCAGGGAGGGGTTAAACCTACAGTAGTCTGGTCTTTCTGCTCCCTCCTTGCTTCTGGTGGAGCAGAGATGTTGTCTTTTCTGAGGGAGCCCCAGTTTCGCTGGAGCTACTAACAGTGAATGGAGGGTCCTGAAGAACGAGGTCCTTGTGCTTTATTCACAAAGCCCTGGAGCTGTCAGGAGCCCACGCTGAGATTCTCTGAGCGTCCAGCTGGACGGGCGGACGGCATGGCCTGCTTAGGACTGGAGGCTCACGACACCTGCAGAGGAAACATCATATCAGGTTCTGCGGCTTGCTGCTCGACCCTGAGAGGTGGTTGTCATCCTGTTGCTGAGGACATATGCTTTTACTGGCTTCATGATGCTTTAAGCTTAGGTCTTATGGAAATTAGCATGATAGCGTTGGAACAAAAATTAAAGCTAGAATTGATTAGCTGCTCATGAGAGAACTATGGTAATTTCTCTGTGGATAATCAAGGTTGAGATTGTTCAAGATAAGGGCATCTTCATCTGAGCATTAGACCCGGCGTAGATTGGCACGATAGGGATGTATAAAGCTACTTATTTTCGAAATCGACTAGTTGACTAATAGGTTTTAAGGAAGCCCTGTATAATTTGGCTGGTTTCATGTTCTCCTGAGCCTGATTGGATGCATTTCGTAGTGGTTGTTTACATAAAATGTATTTCTTAATTGCTAAATGGAATGCAGGAGTCCTGAGATTAAACATATAATGCTCAAAACACAGCATTAGATGTGATGTGACAACCAAGATGTCAGTCTGAATGTCTGTTTCTGCATTAAGGATTAACGTATTTAATGTATTAATGAGGGTTTTTAACAGGTAAAGAACAGTACACACTAAAAATATCAATATCAGGATTTTATATATATATAATATATATATATATATATATATATATATATATAATCATGATTAATCGCATCCAAAATAAAAGTTTGTGTGTACATAATATATATGTGGGTGCACTGTGTATTATTATATATATATAAACACACACACATGCTTGTATATATTTAAGAAATATTTTCATGTATATACTGTATATAGATTTATATACAATTTATATTATATATCAAATATATATTTTATATACTGTATATTTTTTCTTAATTATACATGCATGTGTGTGGATTTATATATATAAAATAATTATACACAGTGCACCCACATATATTATGTAAACACAGACTTTTATTTTGGATGCAATTAATCATTTGACAGCCCTAATATATATATATATATATATATATATATATATATATATATATATATATATATTATAGTTAATTTTTTTAATAAGTCTTTTATTCTAACGTAGGCTGCATTCATTTGATCAAAAATACAGTAAAAGCTGAATTTTCAGCAGCAGTATCAGCTATATCCTGTCTTCAGTGTCACATGATCCTTCAAAAATCTTTCTTTCCCAGAGACATGTATTATTATTATTATTATTATTATTATTATATTTGTTTGCTGCTTAAAATGAATTTCTTTCTTCTGCTGAACACAAAAGAAGATATTTTGAAGTATGTCAGTAGCCAAAGACCCCATTGACATAGTATTCCCCCCCAGTAACACTTCATTTTCGATAATCCACTTTAGACATTCTACTAACTATAAGTAACTTTGCAATTACATCATGTTAACTAACTGTCATTACAGTATTAGTAGACTGCCTGCTTAATATCTGCTAACACTTTATTGTGATGGTCCCCCAACAGATTTTCTACTGATTACAAGTCAACTTATTCTACTTACCCGAACCCTCACACCTAACCGTACTCTAACAGTCTACTAATACTCTAATGACATTTAGTTGACATGCAGTTGCAAAGTTACTTATAGTTAGTAGAATGACTAAAGTGGACTATCGAAATAAAGTGTGACCCTATGGAAGACAGTGGCGTCCATCAACTGTTTGGTAAAAGTACTGGTAATAATTGCTTTTGAAAAACAAAAAACAAAATCTTACTGACCCCAAATTTTGAATTTGTCACTGTTTTCAAACCACTGATCTTTGACTGTCAGAACTAAAAAAAATCTTTGAAAGGATCTGAAACTCAAGACAGTATGATCTCAACATCCTTTCAGATCCCTTCAATGATGTTTTACATCACCAAGATGATGTAAGACGTTTTGCTCATCATGTGGAATAATAACCCAACCTAGAAAGCTGCAATGTTATGTTGTGAAGTCAAGGGGACCTAGATGATTTTTTTGTATCTCCTTCATTGTTCCTCTCAGAGCTGAAGTGTCATTTTTTTAATGCAACATTCTTTCTCAGTCACATATTCATAACTATTAATACAGTCATTGTATACAGTTCCTTTTTGGTGTCACAAGTGGTGCAAAAAGTTAAACTGCAGATTCATAGTGAAAACTATAGACTGCCAAATATGTGTCCTCAGCACCTTCCAGAGTTTCGTTTGCTCGACCTCAGCTGACCTTGTTACGAGTCAACTGACTCATAGTGGGTGAAAAAATTCTTTTTTCAGTCAGACTTAACTTCTCTGTTTGTGCATTTTCACATGCTGAACATAATTTTTACATTTATGCATTTGACACTGGCAGACTTAAAGTAAATATTTTATCAGTATGCATAATGTATGTGCATGATGTTTCTATGTGCCATGTTGAGCTACAAGAACTACATTAACAACAACAAAGAATTGTTTAATCTTCGACTGAAATGAATCATTATATAGCTATTGGCACGTGTGACGTGCAGCTGTGTTGCACCAGCCGTCATACATTTATAAATCCTCAGCTAATGGTGCTCATGATTCTTGATTAACGTCAGACGTTATCATGTTGCCTTTTTGACCAATTTGAGCTGTTTTTATAATCAGCCAAGTAAATCCGGGAGGCTCAGCCAAGAAGGCGAAGAAAAATGTCTTGAGAATTTTCCCAGGAAGTCTTCCAAGCAGTACCCTTTAAAAAAAGGGTCGCTCAAGAGCCTGTTGTTTTGGTGGCAGGAAGAACGTCTAGATTTTTTTTTTTTTTTTTAATGGTTGCTCTTATGTAATACTAGAACGGAAATGTGTGTGATTTCGGTTGTGCTAAAGGTTAGATTTGCCTTTGTTGTCTATGCTGGTGTGTAGTGCTAATCAGGTGGAAAACTCCCATTCTGTGTGTAGTGTTGACAAGCCTGTTCTAGAGGTTGGGTCAAGAACATAACACTGCTTCTGCTTCTCTCCAACAGTTCTCCAGCTGAGGCTACAGCATAGACGCACCCGCGAGCAGCTCGTTGATCAGGGCATCATGCCACGTGAGTACAGCCCCTGTCATCTTACACTGCTGCGTGTACCATAGAAGGGAGAAGATGATTCATATTTACCCACCCTTTGATGAAAACTGATATCACTTGTTTAACTTAATATGTCCAAATGCGAACGTTTTATGCCATGAAATGCCATTTTGCTGCCCATTTTTCCTCTATAATCAGAAAAAAATGTATGGTGGACTTTTTTCCATCATGAATTATATGGTTTGTGAAAAGTGGGTGTTACTGTACATACTGACTGGAGTAAGAGGCACTCATGACATCAGCTGAAAAGGACACTTTTAATCGGAAAAGCATACATTTTTTACAATACAAAGCATACAAAGTCCCGAAATGGACGCTGAACGAACTTTGTTTTGGCCTGATTTGTTCGAAATGACATCACACCAGTTCATTCTTCAATTTCGCTTAGTATATCAGGTCTTAAAGGGATAGTTCACTTTGAAATTAATTTTTGATGTGTTTTAGCTTACCTCAAGGGCATCCAAGATGTAGGTGTCTCTGTTTCCGCAGTGTTTTCAATATTGATATTTTTAGGTCAAACCGTTCTTGTCTGTCAGTCAAATAATGGAGGTCTATGGTCACCACCTCAAAGAGCATGCACAGAGAAGTCCAGATTCAACGTGATTTAATGACTCATAAATGTAAGTACACATTGCTGGCCTAAGACACGAAACGAGCGGTTTGTGTGAGAAAATGTACAGTATTTATATCGTTTTTATCTCTTGTAACCACAGCCACAAAGCGCCCGCGCCCTCAGATCACTTGGACATGGCTGTGGTTACAAGAGGTAAAAACGATATTAATACTGTTCGTTTTCTCATACAAACCGCTCGTTTTGTGTCTTAGGCCACCAATTTGTACTCACATTTACAAGTCATTAAATCATGTTTAATTTGGACTTCTCTGTGCATGCTCTTTGAGGTGGTGACCATACACCTCCATTATATGACTGACCTAAAAATGTCAAAATTGAAACTACTGTGAAACAAAGACGCCTACATCTTGGATGCCCTTGAGGTAAGCTAAAACAAACCAAAAATTAAATTCAAAGTGAACTATCCCTTTAAATGTGAATTTTCTTTTCACATTTATTTGAAATTATTTAAAAGTGACACGCTACTTCTGGTCAAATTTTGAAAATGCTTACTTAAAAAACGTAACGTTCAAAAGTTGAGGGTTGGTGAAATTTTCTTTTTGAAAGAAATTAATAATAGATGTTTATGTATATCTATAATGTACTTTCTATTCAATAAATAGTCCTGATATGTCATGGTTTCCATGGTTTTATCACTAAGCAATGTTCCATGAAGTATCATTGCTTAGTGATAAGCAATGTTACTTCAGATCCAAATCAGCATATTAGAAGTATTTCTGTAGGATCATGTGAAAATTAAGCTTTGCTGGATTCATTTTCAGGAATAAATTACATTTTAAGATATATCAAAATAGAAAATAGTTATTTCAAATGTAAATAATTTTTGACAATGTTACGTTTTTTTACTGTATTTTTTTTATCAAATAAACTCAGCCTTGGTGACCTTAAGCGACTTTCAGTAGCAGATTTTACAGACCCCAAACTTTTGAATGGTAACATGGCCTTGTACCCACATTACATATGTCATATTGTGATTATTATTATCTTCGACAGTGTCCCAAAGTTGACTGTCCCTACACAAAACGAACCATGCTTTAAGTGGTGTGAGCAAACCTTCCTGCTTTTGTGTTTAAGAGAGGAAATCAGTTGGTACTGTGGGTTCTTGTTTCTTCGCACCACATCTCCTTTTGAATCAGTTGTTTATTCTCGCTTATCATCGGGCACGGCTGACCAATAAACATGGTCTTTTTGCAAACGCTCACCTCAGCTCAGTCTGTTATTGCTCATAACCACTTTTCCATTCAGCTAAGTCACTGAGCAGTGTGTGAGATCTCTCACACTCATGCTTAAAAACACTTTTTTCTCTCTCTCTGGCAATCTCCGAGCTGATTGATTGGATTACACTGCATGCTGTCTCATAACTCAGTTTAATATCAGGCACAGATTCTGCCGGGATTACGGAAGCTGTCTGACCTGAACGGCACAGTGTAGTCTGCGTGCTAATCTCTGTGTGGGCCCTCCATCTCCTTTCTGAGTAATATGTGAGACGAGGCGCTGCAACATTTCGAAACAACTGGGGGAGATGAAAGAGCCATGTCTGTTTGAAGTGTGTGGGTGATGGCCTTGTGTCCTCATGAGACTGATTCTCTTCTTGTGTGTGTGACTTTACAGCCCTGAAGAGCCCTGCGGCGTTTCACGAACAGATCCGCAGCCTTGAGAGAGCCAGGGTAAGAGCAGGGCACCGAGCCCCAGTCCTCCTCCACTTTCCTCAGCCATCTGGGGTCTCTGATCCTCCATGATACCTCTTGAGGGCTCCCCAGCTCTCAGTAATGGGACACATGTGAAACCTTACAGTTGATTTAGTAGCTTAAGCCTTGTGTAAATGTGTTTGTTATTTGCAAAGCACAGAGGAGATTATCATAATGGTTACTTTATGATCCCTGAATTACAGAGGGGTTTTCGTTTTCTCAAACTCTGTATCCTTTCTCTCTGTAGACCGAAACTTTCCTAAAGCACAAAATACGCAGCCGCCCAGAAAGGGCCGAGTTGGTTCGCATGCACATTTTACAAGGTAATCCTCCATTCACGAGACATTTAAGGGCTGCTAATCTGCACGCTGGGAATTTTTTTTTTTTTGTTGAATCTATTCTTTTCTAAACAAAGCTGTAGCTTGTTTGTAAATACAAATTTTCTGATTCAATTCTGAATCCTAAACCATTAAATTGAGTTTGATTTGAGTCATTCATTTGGTTATATTTCAGTTATATGTTATACTGTAAAACCTGATGAGTTTGTTCAACTCAAACTGTTTGAGGAAACCGATTGCCTTAAATCATTTAAGTTTATTAACTCAAAAAAATATTTGATTTGTTTCCAAGTAACTCAATAACTTATTGTTAAGATAACTTGGGTAAATAAAGTTAATAATTAGTTACTATAACTTAAATCTATGAAGTACACTGTAAACCCGAATAAGTTGGCAGAACTCAAATCACTTTCAATAGTATAAACTTAGTTAGCTTTAAAAGCTAATCTGCTGACGTAGTAAATGCTAACATATTAGAAACAGTATGTTATAAGCACTTACAAGCACTTGCTGTATGAACGTAATAATATAAAGGGATAATTTGCTCTCAAATCAAGCTGAATGCACCACTTGTCACCATGATGGTAACTATCCTAAAGCCAAGATTAACAGAAATACTTCTAAATTAGCGTAACAAAACATTAATCACTACGAAATCTCACACTTAACATTACTCTTACACAAAAAAAAAAACATTATATTGCACTTAATTTTAGCATTTACACTCTCTTTCAAGTGCCATCGGCAAAGCGTGCTGGGAAATAGTATCCCAGCCATTTCAGTTAAACTTAAAGGATTAGTTCACTTTTGAAAAAACTTTTGCTGATAATTTACTCACCCCCATGTCATCCAAGATGTCCATGTCTTTCTTTCCTCAGTCGAAAAGAAATTTAGGTTTTTGATGAAAACATTCCAGGATTTTTCTCCATATAATGGACTTCAATGGGAACCGGATGGTTCAAGGTCCAAAAGACAGTTAATAACAGTTTCAGATGCAGCTTCAAATGTCTTTAAACGACACCAGACGATGAATAAGGGTCTTATCATGCGAAACGATCGGTTATTTCAAAACTTATTCCAAAAATGTAACTTTTCTAAGGACAAATGCTAGCCTTGCTCTATTCTGTGAGGCGCGTTTGCAACGTCACGTATTACGTAATTACGTTCAAAAGGTCACGGGCGACGTAGCCGAAAGTACAGAGTCAGTGTTTACAAGTTGAACGCATAGGTTGAACGTGCAAACTAGCTCAAACACCGTTTACAAAAAAAGGAATTAAAAGGAAAAACAACGATGTCGGACGATTTTTTAATTCTGTACTTCCGGCTACGTCGCCCGTGACCTTTTGAACGTAATTACGTATTACGTGACGTTACAAACGCGCCTCAGAGAATAGAGCAAGGCTAGCATTTGTCCTTAGAAAAGTTACATTTTTGGAATAAGCTTTGAAATAACCGATCGTTTCGCATGATAAGACCCTTATTCATCGTCTGGTGTCGTTTAAAGACATTTGAAGCTGCATCTGAAACTGTTATTAACACTATCTTTTGGACCTTGAACCATCCGGTTCCCATTGAAGTCCATTATATGGAGAAAAATCCTGGAATGTTTTCATCAAAAACCTAAATTTCTTTTCGACTGAGAAAAGAAAGACATGGACATCTTGGATGACATGGGGGTGAGTAAATTATCAGCAAAAGTTTTTTTCAAAAGTGAACTAATCCTTTAAGTTCGTCTAAATTAAAATAAATAATTTCATAAAACTCAAAACAATGAAACAGTTCAGTTTACTTAAAATATATCAGTTCTGTGAACTTGAAAGAAAAAGAAAGTGCTAAATACTCATAAAAATGTATTTGACTCAACTAATTCGTTGAATTTAAGTTTGTCCTACTCAAACCAATTAATTATTTTGACCGTTAGGGTTTACAGTTTTACTTAGGTAAATACATTCTCTCTCTCATACTTTTTTATATGTGTGTGTGTGTGTGTGCGATTCACTAAAAGGATTTGCAAAATGTGTCTTGACATTATTTTGTGGCACACAGTGTTCTTATTTAATCAGATTCAATACAAAACTGATAAAGGGAGCCTAACTTGGTACATTATGAAAATGCCAATTTCCCCAAACTATGCAGATAAGTTTGTGAGAAAATCAGGACAACCTAATTCCATAAAAGCAAGAAGAATTAATGTTCAGAAGGGTCAGCCAGATGCCGTACTTGTCTTGTTTACTTGTGATTGAGTTGACCGTTGTGGTGTTTGAGGACGAGTGTGGGTTTGAGTGATTGTTGCACTGATTGTCGTTGGTTTTTGGTGGTTTGGCAGAGACTGTGGCGGAGCCTTCTCTGCAGGCCACCCAGCTGAAACTGAAGAGAGCTCGATTGGCTGATGACTTAAATGAAAAGATCTCTCAACGCCCCGGCCCCATGGACCTGGTGGAGAAGAACATCCTACCTGTGGACTCCAGCGTCAAGGAGGCCATCATTGGTGAAAGTGCGCACTGTGATTAAAGGTATTAAATTAGGCTAATATTGGACGTGTATGAATTATGATACATTGTCCTTTGTGTCCATTGGGTAGATGGTCAGATGCAGTACCCCAGAACTCTAGAGGAACCAGTAGTAGATGAGGACAGTGGAGATGCGTTTTCACCCGAGCAGCCAGGAAGTCAGGAGTCCCAGGGTTCTGCAGCCTCACCTGGGGAGGTCCAGATCATTGAGGGGTCTTCACCAGTGCCCAATAACTTTTTACAGGTAGGTCTCCCTCCTTCTTTTGACACTCGGAGCTCGTGATGCAAAAACACAGAATTTGGTGATTCAAGTTTTGCAGTATTCTGAGATTCATTATTTGTTGTTTTCACAGCACTTTCCTGCAGTCGCCACCCCTTCAACAAATTTCTTCAAGCCTTTTTCCAGCAATGAGCAATCATTTAGCCCTCCAGCACCCATGCCACAAGTGGTCACCGTGGCCCATGTGAAGTCTGGGCCCACCCTAGTAAAGGTCAGTAAAGAACTGGCTTTTATAGTAAAGGGAAAACAACAAAAATGTATTAAACCCCCTTGATTCAGAAAGAAAGAAACATATTTCTCATAAAAATAACCTAGTGATAAAAAATATGGGTCCCACTTTAAATGAATTGGCTTTAAGTACTATGTACTTGCATCGGAAAATAAGTACACTGTTCAAGTACAAAACATATGTACACAAGTCTATTGTACTTAAAGACACTTAAATATGTTGTTTTGCCTTATTTTAAAGAGTTTTAAGTCATCTTGAGGGCCCGTTTTGAAGTTTGTTGAGGATCCCTAGTGGACCACCTGGTTGAGAACCACTGATTTAGATGTAATGCAAAATGGGAAATCTCTGTTCAATATACAGCAGAGTCAGCCTAAGCTACCTGGGGACAAGAGCCGTAGCAAGAAGAGCAAGGAGGCCAAGCCACGTGTGAAAAAGTTGAAATATCATCAGTACATTCCCCCAGACCAGAAACAAGAACCCGACCAAGCCCCGATGGACTCTTCATATGCGCGATTACTACAACAACAGCAGCTATTTTTGCAACTACAGATCCTGAGCCAACAGCAACAGCAGCACTACAACTACCAGACCATCCTTCCTGCACCTCTCAAGTAAGTTCTGTGTGTCTGTAATCTGTGTGTCAGGCTCTGTTGTGTTCCTTATCTACTGCTTTGCCAATCGGTGAATCCAAACCATTTGGCATAGGTCATCTTTTGCTTTTCAAGCTAGCCAGGAGGTGTTTTGTCAACCATTACTATAATGGTTGTACTAGATGGAAAATGTCTAAGCTTTTTTGTTGCTGGTGGCACTCAGGTCCAGGACCATTACCTGTTTTCCAATAACAAATCCTGTTTAGTGATTTACATTAATGGTAGGAAGTCAGTGAGGTTATTCCTCTGCTTCCTTTTCCATCTCTTTTGCAAGATTTATTTTAACTGTCATTGTTTTCTGCTGCTGCATTGTTCAGTGGTGTTTTTTTTTTTTTTTTTTGAGAACTAGGGTCAAAGAAACAAATTGTTTCTGCTGTGATGTTAAGTGTTGTTCCTCCCCTCTTTTCCCATTTGCTTCCCTCCTCGCCAGGCCTGTGATAGAGGGCCAAAACAGCAGTGCCACAGTCGCTATTAACAGCGCCAGCAGCCTTCCTGCCTCAATCGTGTTGTCTCTGCCCACAGCAACACCTGTGCGGCCCAATAGCACCCTTTCCAACCGCAAGGCTGGCACACTACCAGCCAACCTGGAAGAGATGAAGGTACCGAGAGATTCTAATTATACACAAAAACTATATAATATAGAGCACTACTGAAGCACTACTGTTAAAAAAGTTAAAAAAAGAAGTTGGTACGTTTTTTTAATGCTTTTGAAAGAAGTCTCTTATGCTACGGAAGAGATAATTAAAGATAATTAAAATCTTTAATCTTTATTAAAGATTTATAATGACTTTAATAAAGATTAAAGTCATTATAATCTCGCATTATATAATGACTTTAATCTCAAGATGGTTTAATTTATTTTTTTTTAATTACATTTTTTTTATTTTTTTTTATAAAAAATTTATTTTTATTAATTTTTTTTAATAAAAAAAATAAAACCATCTTGAGATTAAAGTCATTATAATGCGAGATTAAACTCGTTAAATTTCGAGAAAAAAAGTCGTAATACAATCTTGAGAATAAACTCATTAAAAATTAAGAATAAAGTCGTTGTGTTTTGAGAAAAAAGTAGTTAAATTTCGAGAAAAAAGTCGAAATACAATCTTGAGAATAAACTCATTAAATATCGAGAATAAAGTTGTGTTTCGAGATAAAACTCGTTAAATTTCGAGAAAAAAGTCGAAATACAATCTTGAGGATAAACTCGTTCAATTTCTAGAATAAAGTTGTGTTTCGAGAAAAAAGTCGGTAAATTATGAAAAAAAATTCGAAATACAATCTTGAGAATAAACTCATTAAATAGCGAGAACAAAGTCGTTGTGTTTCGAGAAAAAAATCGTTAAATTTTGAGAAAAAAGTCGAAATACAATCTTGAGAATCAACTCATTAAATATCGAGAATAAATTCGTTGTGTTTCGTGAAAAAAGTCGTTAAATTTCGAGAAAAAAGTCGAAATACAATCTTGAGAGTAAACTCATTCAATTTCGAGAATAAAGTCATTTTGTTTCAAGATTAAACTCATTCAATTTCGAGAAAAAAGTCGAAATACAATCTTGAGAATAAACACCAATTTCGAGAATAAAGTCATTGTGTTTCGAGAAAAAAGTCGTTAAATTACGAAAAAAAGTCTAAATATAATCTTGAGAATAAACTCATTAAATATCGAGATTAAAGTCATTCAATATAAAGGCACAATATATCGTGCCATAGTATATCGCACAACAAAAAATGCAACAATACGTATCGTAGATAGTGACAAAATGTATTGTGGATAGTCCCCCAAAATAAAAATTACTGTGTGTGAAAAAATTTAATTCAGTACTACATTAAACTGCTATACATAATGTTGATTATAATGTATAATAATGCAATGGGAAAATTTTGTGGGTCCTGATAATGCCAAATGTCTTATGTTATCAGTAAAAAGTGGCCAACATTAATTTAAATATAGCATATTCGTCTAAAACAACTCTGTATTTTCAGCTTCAGAATCATGAATATTGTTATTCTGGTGTCACCATTGTCCTTGGGTTACAAGCACCAAGTCCAAGCCTATTCATTTAAAACCACAATGTAATATCAAAGTTAGCATTTTAATCAAAAGTATATTTTTTTTGTTATCGCACTAATATCATATCGCGAGTTCAGTATCAGACATGAGAGTATCGTTACACCCCTAATGTTTGGTAATCCAAAACGTACTTTATTTTCTGTATTGAGTTAATATTTTCAGGGATGATAACTTCAATAATAATGGGTGTATTTTGGTAGGTGGCAGAGCTGAAACTGGAATTAAAGTTACGTAGTCTTCCGGTGTCAGGAACAAAAACGGACCTTATTGAACGACTTAAGCATTTCCAAGAAAACCCTGTCACTACTTCACCCAACAACTGCAAAAGACCTAACACGCAGCCCTGCAGCACACCTATGGAGGTGTCCAGCACCACTACAAGCCTCTCCCCCATCCAGCAGCCCCCTGAAAATGTGAGCTCCACTCCGCCTGTGTCTCCTGGTACTTCAGAGCTTCATCGCAGAGAAGACACATCCATGCAGGCCCAAAACCACAGTTTAACAACGGCAGCTCCTGTTCCCGAGGAGCAGGACCGGAGACTACACGAAAAGGAGCGACAGATCAGGGAACTGCTGCGTAAACTGGAGCAGGAGCAGAAGCTGGTGGAGAAACTGAAGATGCAGCTAGAGGTGGAGAAAAGGAGTGGACAAGTCATTCCACCTGTAAAAACATTTTCCAGTCCAACCACCATGTTGGCATCGGTCAAAACCGAAAACACTGTCCCTACCAACTGTACACAGAGTTCAAACACTACACCAACTCTGGTGAAGCTCGAGGAAGCCCACCCCAGTCAGGTGACAGCTACCCCTCTCCGTCAGTTCATTATCAGCCACCAAGGGGTGCCACAGGTCATAGGGCAGCCCCAGACTCTGCTGACCAGTCCTCATGGGGGCACTCAGATCCTTCTTCCAATGCCCCTGGCGAACAATACCACTACCATCCAGCTGCCCAACACTAATGTCAAACTACAGGTAACAAAATACATACAGACTGCTTTCTATGTGTTATATACTTTATACTAAATATAATTTCCATGTCTTTTTTTTGCAGCCAGTCTTGCAGGCTGTTTCTCCATCAGGCACAGGTCTAATTCAGACCTCCCAGCGACAGCCCACCAAAGCAGAGAGTCCTACATCACAACAGATGCTCAGTCACAACCACTTAGTTCAGGTCAGTCTCATGATTGAATGTAATAATGTTCCTTCAAGGGATAGTTCACTTTGAAATTAATTTTGGATATGTTTTAGCTTACCTCAAGGGCATCCAAGATGATTTTGATATTTTTAGGTCAAAACCGTTCTTGTCTGTCAGTCATATAATGGAGGTCTATGGTCACCACCTCAAAAAGCATGCACAGAGAAGTCCAGATTAAATATGATTTAATGACTCGTAAATGTAAGTACACATTGATGGCCTAAGACACGAGGTAAAAACGATAAAAAAATACTGTTCGTTTTCTCACACAAACCGCTCGTTTCGTGTCTTAGACCATCAATGTGTACTTACATTTACGAGTCGTTAAATCATGTTTAATTTGGACTTCAATGTGCATGCTCTTTGAGGTGGTGACCATAGACCTCCATTATTTATTTTTATCTAATGTTCATTTTTTTTTTTGTATTATATAACTTGTAAATTGAAACACAGTTTCCACAAAAAAAAAAAAAAATTAAGCATCACAACTTTTCAATTAGAAGAATAAATTGCATTTTAAAATATATTTAAAAATAATTAGCAGTTATTTAAATTATTTCACAAATTATATTCCAGTTTTACTGTATGCATTCTTGGTGAGCATAAGAGACTTTCAGAAATATTAAAAATCTTACTGACCCCAAACATTTAAATGGTATTATATTATATTATATTATATTATATTATATTATATTATATTATATTATATAATTCATTAACATTACATTACATTACGTAACTTCATTCATTCAACATTAACATTAGTCTACCTTAGTCAACTACCTTAGTTAACATGAACTAAGAATCAACAAGAACTTCTATAGCACTTCTTAGTTAATATTAATTTCAACTTTTACTAATATTATTAACTATTAAAATCGTAGGTTGTATTTGTAAACTTTAGCTGATGTACGGTGAACTAACAATGAACAGCTGTATTTTTATTAACTAACATTTACAAAGATTACTAAATACTGTAGCAGTTGTTTTGTTAACTCTTAGTTCGTGTCAGTTAATACATTACCTAATCTTAACTAATGAACCTTATTGTAAAGTGATACCATTATATTATATGTTGTTAAAGGGATACTCCACTTTTTTTGGAAATAGGCTCATTTTACCACTCCCCCAGAGTTAACAGTTGGGTTTTACTGTTTTCGAATGTATTCAGCCGATTTTCTGATATTTAGAAGAATATCAGCCTACTATGGAAGTCAATGAGACCAGAAACTGTCTGGTTACTGATATTCTTCTAAATATCAGAAAATCGGCTGAATGGATTTGAAAACAGTAAAACTCAACTGTTTAACTCTGGGGGAGTGGTAAAATGAGCCTATTTCCAAAAAAAGTGGAGTATCCCTTTAAAATGTAGCATTATATGAACATAATTTTATGTGGTTGAATCTGCTCTATTTACTCAGTATAATTGAGCAGATATATTTTCAAACCACTTACCGTAAAAAAAATTAAAAAAGAAAAGTCAGACACTGTTGTCAGTGATGTTGATCTCAGAATTACCAAACGTCAGCCGATTAATCAGCCTGGCTAATGTATCACAACTTTTATCCACACTGCAGCGTTTGTTTTTTAACAGAGTATTGAATGACTGTGGAACCTGAGTGAGAACAGGATCAGTGCCAGCAGGAGCAATCAGAACAAGTGAACATTATCTGTGAGCTCTGAGGTCATCTAGTTTTTGTCTGACCAGCAGAGTCATTCATCAGCGAGATAGATGGGAGTCACTGCTCTCATTTCTTTCTAGGCTTTCACTCTACTATGATTGGCCTGTCCTGGCAACAGTGCACCATGCTAAGGTTTCCCAGCTAGACGCCCATTCCTTTGGCATAGTGAACGAACCTGGCCTGATTCCTGGATGACCAGAGTAACTAGAGATCATTGGTTGTGATGAGCTGATAACATTTTTATTGACAGCTCATGCCAACGTGACCTGAGGTGGCTTGTTCTTGTACCTACCGAGCAGCCTCTGGTTAAGAGCGTAGTTCACTTAAAAAAAAAAAAAAAAAAACTTTTGCTGATACTTTACTCACCCCCATGTCATCCAAGATATCCATGACTTTCTTTCTTCAGTCAAAAATAAATTTAGGTTTTTAAAGTAAACATTCCAGGATTTTCCCCATATAATGGACTTCAATGGGAACCAAACTGTACAAGGTCCAAATGAGAGTTTCAGTGCAAACTGTTCAAAGGGCTTTAAACGACACCAGACAATGAATAAGGGTCTTATCTAGCGAAACGATCGCTTATTTAAAAAATTAAAAAAAAGTTTTATAAGCACAAATGCTCGCCTTGCTCTGTTCAGTGATGTGCGTTCGTGACTCAACTGTTCGAACTCGTTCATCAAAATGAACAAATCTTTTTTCGAGTCATGACTTGAAGGGTCCTAGGTAAGACTCTTATTCATCGTCTGGTGTCATTTAAAGCCCTTTGAAGCTGCACTGAAACTCTCATTTGGACCCATTTGGTTCCCAATGAAGTCCATTATATGGAGAAAAATCCTGGAATGTTTTCATCAAAAACCTTAATTTCTTTTCGACTGAAGAAAGAAAGACGTGGACATCTTGGATGACGTGGGGGTGAGTAAATTATCAGCAAAAGTTTTTTTAAAAAGTGAACTACTCCTTTAAGGGCGGACAGAAGAACCTAAACCAGGCGTATACTCTCTATGATGCTAGTGGGTGTTTCTGAATGCTTATTTCCTTTTGGTTTACTCTTCACACAGACTCTGCCTGTGAGCTCCGCCGAGATGTCCGGTCTCCAGCATGGTACCAGTGAGAACCCAGGAGGCCTGGAGATACCTCAGAGCTTCCTCAGCAGCTCCCCAGAGAACAGGATCTCGCCTCAGACGTCCCCCCTTATCAATGGGCCGCTAAGCAAGGTAGCACATCCTGCTCTTATTGAGATGTTTATTGTTTAGTGTGTTGCTGTTCTGTTCGGCCTTAAATGTTTTTATTCACAGACCTACATCCAGCAGTCCCCAGTTTTCAACCAGACGCCCAAGAACAGAGAGCCGCCCCGGTATGAGGAGGCCGTCAAACAGACCCGCAGCCTACAGAATCACGCCGTCTCAGAGGTAATGTTTTTACACATCTTAGCATTCTCATACTCAAACTGTGTTGAATACTTGGTTGTTTCAGCCATAGATATGTACTGTATATAAAGGCTAGATGTGTCGTCCGCGCTGCTGGCCAATGGAGGTTCGACGTCAGCACCTGGCGGCCATCTTGTCACAGGCAGCTCGCTCATTGGTAACATTGTTTTAATGGTGCATGTACTTTTTAAATCACCGTAACTTGCTCAATTTTCTACCGATTTTCAAACAGTCTGGTTTGTTATAAACGGAAGAGATGTAGTTATGATACTGCATACTTATGAATAATAAGTGTATAAATAAATAATCATACTAATGCACAGATCTGTTTTAAAATATCAGGTTTGTACTGTCTTTAAGACATGAATAAAATTGACACATCTCCGCTATAATAGCTTTTAATTTATCGGTTTTACTAATTTTTTAAATTTTTATTCAAAATATTCACACACTTGTTGACTAGACTCATGTTAATTTACACTTCAACGTATAGAATCAGATTTACAACAGGTAAATTCACCCACTCCTTGCAAAAGACATGAAATGAATTGGCCTTCACAATGTTTCAAACAAAACACAAGGTCAAATAACGTTTTTCAAGGTTTTTCTGCTTCCATAGACATCAGTGTGTATTTTACAAAGTACACTTTCTTTTCTTTTTTTTTTGTGCTAGTACTTGTATGTATTTAAATGTCTGAAACCTAAAATAAACATTATGTGTTTGAAGATATTGAACAGGAACATATGCCAAGCGCTAGGTGAGTCTCTCTCTGGCTCAGCACCAGTCAAAGTGTGAAAGCAGGATTTAGCAGTTCTGCTGGATCACACTGGGGTTGTTTTGCACTCCACGGACCAGGGAATGGAAAAGTGCAATATGTACACTCTACCTAAGCTCTCATTTCTCTCATTTTCTGTTACTTGAAAGAAAGGAAATAATACGTGGTCACATTCACAATGAAATGAGGATGAGTTGAGGTCTTGTTTCACCATTTATATTATATAGGAGGATATGAATAAATGACAGAGGAAAGATACTTAAAGGGATAGTTCACTTTCAAATGAATTTTTGATATGTTTTAGCCTACCTCAAGGGCATCCAAGATGTAGGTGTCTTTGTTTCCGCAGTATTTTCGATTTTGATATTTTTAGGTCAAACCGTTCTTGTCTATCAGTAATATAATGCAGGTCTATGGTCACCACCTCAAAGAGCATGCACAGAGAAGTCCAAATTAAACATGATTTAATGACTCGTAAATGTAAGTACACAATGATGGCCTAAGACACAAAATGAGCGGTTTGTGTGAGAAAACGAACAGTATTTATATCGTTTTTGCCTCTCTCAATAAATCATGTTTAATTTGGACTTCTCTGTGCATGCTATTTGAGGTGGTGACCATAGACCTGCATTATATGACTGACAGACAAGAACGGTTTGACCTAAAAATATCAAAATTGAAAACACTGCGGAAACAGAGACATCTACATCTTGGATGACCTTGAGGTAAGCTAAAACATCAAAAAATTAATTTCAAAGTGAACTATGCCTTTAAGATAAAGAGATAAATGAACAAATATGTCTAAAAAATTTTCAAAGTATAAGGATCTGACATGTTTAATCGTATCGTGTTATCGTTATCATATTATTGTATGACGTTATGGTTCTGTAAAGCATTCTGTTAATGCTGGGAAGGGTAATTTCTTGAGAACTGTCCCTTTAAGACTCTTTGTTTGCAGTTAACCAGAGGCACTACTGTACTTTTCCATTGTTTACTGCTGTAATTTAGTTAATCATTTGTTTCTTCTGTGCTGTCCTTGAATTGGGAAGTCATTTTATTTTTTTTGTCGGCCCACAGATTCCCACAGCTACAAGTCAACAGATGGATGATCTCTTTGACATTTTAATAGAAAGTGGAGGTGAGTTTGTCATATTGTTGTATACTACTTCCATTTGTCCACAACTCTCACTATAAATCCAGATTCAGATTTTTTTTTCACGATTGATAATCGTGAGTATGAAGACTGAAAATGTTAGACTCATCTTGGCAGTCCAGCCAGCTACATTTCCCAGAAGCCCAATTTTCAGCGCCGTAACAGCCTCCAAGATTCAGTGCCAAGTAGACTACCATTAAAAAGTTTTAATAAAATTTGTTTTAAAGAAATTAATATTATTCAGGATAATCAAAAGGATGCATTAAAAGTAACATTAAAGACAGTTGTAAGGTTTCAGAATAATTTTATTGCAAATAAATGCTGTTCTTATGATCAAAGAATCCTGAAAACTGTTTTCAACATTGATAATTTTAAGAAATATTTCTTGAACACCAAATAATTTTAAAGGATCATGTGTCACTGAAGACTGGAGTAATAATGGCTGCTTAAAAATTCAGCTTTTCCATCACTGCCAAAAACTATATAGAAATAAAAAACAGAAATTTTAAACTAGATATTTTGGTAACACTTTACAATAACAAAACAATGATTAGTGACATGATGAACTTACAATGAGCAATATATTTGTTACAGTATTTTTTCATCTTTGTTAAGCTGTTCATTGTTTGTTCATGTTAGTTCACAATGCGTTAAACTAATGTTAACAAATACAACCTTTTATTTTAATAACGTATTAATACATTTTGAATATAAATATTGAAAAAATGCCGAAGAACTAAGGTAGTTCACTATTGTTAGCTAATGAACCTTATTGTGAAGTGTTACCGATGTTTTAAAGAATACCGTTTTCTTGTATTTTTGATCAAATAAATGGTTGAATCAAATGCTTGGTGAAAATAAGTGACTCTTTTCAAAAACGTTTTAAATCCTTAAACTTTTGAATGGTTTGATGGAGAGGCGGTTAGGGTTATTAAAGGGATAGTTGACTTTGAAATTAATTTTTGATATGTTTTAGCTTACCTCAAGGCCACGGTATTTTCAATTTTGATATTTTTCGGTCAAACCGTTCTTGTCTGTCAGTCATATAATGGAGGTCTATGGTCACCACCTCAAAGAGCATGCACAGAGAAGTCCAAATTAAACATGATTTAATGACTCGTAAATGTAAGTACACATTGATGGCCTAAGACAGGAAACGAGCGGTTTGTGTGAGAAAACGAACAGTATTTATATTCTTTTTACCTCTTGTAATCACAGTCACCTCCAAGTACTTCTCAGGGCGAGAGCGGTTCGGTCTGCACAAGCCCCGGAAGTGATCTCTCGCGCGTGTACGTCACTCATTGTTTACACAGATTTCAGAAGTGTTATCCCTCACTGTGAAGATCTAAACATATTTAGATATACAGGAAATTGCAATGGAAGACGATTTTGATATATCAACAGACAACGTTGATTTTTTTTTTTTCGCAACCGCGCAAGAGATCACTTCCAACAGGTGCCTTCAGATCACTTGGACGTTGCTGTGGTTACAAAAGCGATATAAAAACTGTTCGTTTTCTTACACAAACCGCTCGTTTTGTGTCTTAGACCATCAATGTGTACTTACATTTACGAGTCATTAAATCATGTTTAATTAGGACTTCTCTGTGCATGCACTTTGAGGTGGTGACCATAGACGAGAACGGTTTGACCTAAAAATATCAAAATTGAAAATACTGCGGAAACAAAGACGCCTACATCTTGGATGCCCTTGCGGTAAACTAAAACATATCAAAGATTAATTTCAAAGTGAACTATCCCTTTAAAAATCTTCATGATCTAGTAAACATAAAAAACAAGTTTTATTAAAATGTCAACATTCTTGTTCAACCCTATTTTTTCTTTTCTGCAGAGATTACTCCCTTTAGTCAACATGACCCGTCCGTGCCTAAGATGATGCCCGTCACGGCCAACATCACCACCCTGCCTATCAACACCGCCCTGTCCCGACCGCCCGCCCAGGTGCAGATGGCACCCCCTCCGGCGCTCATGCTCGAACCCCTCCCCAGCCTCGCCTCCCTGGACTCCGACAACCAGTTGGAGGCTTTGCTGGAGGGCACGCTGGTTGGGGACACAGAGCCGGAGCAGAGGACTTTGGGCCTGTTGGAGGAGCTGCAAAACCAGATGCTGGAGCAGCCAAACTCCCCAATGGACACTTGCGAGTTGGGTTTCACCGACCCGCCTCCGCCTTCCTCCTCCGCCCTGTCCTTTAGTCTCCAAGACAACTGCCTGGACAACATGGAGTGGCTGGACATCACCATGCCCGGGCCCATAGGTGGACTCAACCCTCTGGGCATCACCTCTGAGTTATTGGACACTCATGATCTCCAGCTGCAGTGGGACTGAGAGGAATCGCTTTAAACTTTCACTCGCACAACAAGCCGTTTGTTTTTCGGGCGTGCGGTAGGGGTCATCTTTGTGGCAGGGGTTCACATCTGGCAGCTTCACGTGACTAGACTGCAGCTCAGCTGTACACTTCACTTATGCTGGTTCTGTTTTCACCATCTGTTCTCGTTCACATTAACGCTCTTGTTTGATCAGGATAGACACAAGAGCCTTGTGGGTAATGTTGGCTGGGTCCTGAATGTGCTCTCTTTGCTGTGCCATACTGAGAGGGAGCGTCTTTCGGGCAGATTGAATTCTGCTGTATTGCTAAATTTTTTTTGTGTGTTTTATATTCATGTGCCATTGACATCAGATTGGTTGTGGTCAGTCTATAAATAAGGCTGTGGATTCCAGACATAGTGGAATTACAGTAGATTTTGCTTTGTTTGCACAAAATTGAAAATGACCTTGATCAACAATGCCATTGTTATTAACAATGCCCCTTTTTCAGCGCTGACTGCCAGATTTGGTAGCAGATATAGTACACTACCGTTAAAAAACGAGAAATGATTCAGCAAGGATGCATTGAATTGATCAAAAGTGACAGACATTTATAATATTGTAATTTCTATTTATAAAAGAAAAATATATTTATCACAATTTCCGCTTAAAAATATTAAGCTACATAACTGTTTTCAGCATTGATGTTAAGTTAGTTACCATATTAGAATAATATCTGAAGTATGTGACATTGAAGACACTGAATTACATTTAAACTGTAAGTATATTGACCAAAAATACACTTGTTTACTGTATTTTTGATCAAATAAATGTATCCTTGTTGTTTTAAAACATCAAAAATTACGGTCGTGCAGTTTGATGGAGAAGATCTATTTAACACACACACTCACATATATATATATAAACCCTCTTTTTGGTATTTAATTTTAAAGACAATCACATTGTTTGAAGGATGATTGACTGCAGACCAGATAAATTGATTCATGATTTGTATAGCTGGAATTGCAGATTTTCCGTAAGCATAAATGGCCAATCTTGGATGAGTTTGCAAAGAGCATTTGGCTTGATATAGATTGAGAATCGCAGACAGATTAATTTCTTCAGTCCTAGACACATGAAAACTTATTTTGACGACTTAAAGGAGTAGTTCACTTTAAAAAAAAAAACTTTTGCTGATAATTTACTCATCCCCATGTCATCCAAGACATCCATGTCTTTCTTTCTTCAGTCGAAAAGAAATTAAGGTTTTGATGAAAACTCTCCTGTTCAAACTCGGTCATCAAAATGAACGAATCTTTTTTCGTGTCATTTGGTTCATTCAACGAACGAAATGAACAAATTGACTCGGGAAAAGATTCGTTCATTTTGATAAACGAGTTCAAACAGGAGAGTCACGAATGCGCATCACAGAACAGAGCAAGGCGAGCATTTGAGCTTATAAAACTTAAACTTTGTTATTTATTTATTAAATGAGCGATCGTTTCGCTCGATAAGACCCTTATTCATCGTCTGGAATCGTTTAAAGCCCTTTGAACAGTTTGCAGTTTACACTGAAACTGTCTTTTGGACCTTGAACCGTTTGGTCCCCATTAAAGTCCATTATATGGAGAAAAATCGTGGAATGTTTTCATCGAAAACCTTCATTTCTTTTCGACTGAAGAAAGAGAGACATGGACATCTTGGATGACATGGGGGTGAGTAAATTTTTAAAGTGAACTACTCCTTTAATTTGTCATGGATCAGCTGTCAGTTTCAATAATCAATGAGAACAAATATTTGTATAAAAAAGAAAAGCTGCCACGCATCGCATAACTTGTTGGATATCACCTTATTTGTGTGTATGTGAATTGTAAAGCGTGTGTGTGATTGTTCGTCACTTCAGTGGAGTGTGTGTTCGACTCAATTGATTTTAGGTGCATCATACTGTAAGGAAGTTCCTGTTTTCTCCCACACTTTTCTCAGTTGGGTTGGCACAGTGGTTCACTATATTTTGCGTTATTTGCTTATTCTTGACGCCATGGAACAAACCTCCGTTAGAGAGACTGCTTTTAAAAATGTAAATGAAGCCATCAGAAGTGACAACTGACACTAAATACAAAAAACTGTGTATTCCTCCTGTACATGGAGTTTTAAAAATGCAAAGCTCTCTGGGGTTGTTTCAGAAGCAAACCAGACAATTGCTAAGAATGCATGTTAAATGTCACTGGCAGCTTAATAATTCGTTTGTTGAGGGAGTCTGAGAACGAAATGATGAAATTTCGACATTTTTAGCAGGCTTGTTTCTGTGTGTGGGTGCATGTGTGTGTGCTTGAGTGTCTCTGTCTGTTATACTGTTTGAAATAAGACCATCCAAATGAAATGTCTGTGTAAATGGACAACATTATGTATATATATTTGCAAATATCTTGCATGTGAATAATCAAATTGATTTGATATTTCAGAGAAACTTCCTCTTCTTCTGTTTGGCCCTTTCTGTTTGTCGTTTTGATGTCAACCACCTCATGGAAAAATCTTTTTATTCATATGTATATCCTGCTATGACGTGACTCCTTTCCATTCGGCAAGGCAATACGTGTCCGATGGCTTCGAACTCGCCTCTCTCGGATGTGAAGTGAGTTTTGCTTGATCCAAAGGGGGTTTCAGTTATACATGTTATTTGTATATAAGCACTTTCACCTCACAGTTATATCAACCACACAGATGAGCTTTTCTAAAAGAAAAAAAGCTTCCGTGTTGCGCGCCGTCTGCTCAGAAGTCGATTATCGATGCCCATCTGCTTTGTTTTTAAGGCTTTGTACTGTTTGCTCTGCATACTGTCCAAGTTGTGGCCTCTCCAGGGACGAAAAAATGCCAAATACTAGTCTCAGCTAGTATGGTCATTCACTGCGGTGTGTAGCTATGAGGACATTTATAAGGAATAAGGAATAATGCAGGCGTTTTTGGCATTACTGAGTGCTGTTATAATGCAGCCTAGTGCAATTTTTATGTACCCTATCATACTATTATTCTGATAAGTAAGTGAAGGAGAAAGAACTGGACCTTAGGTTTCCATCATGTGTTATACAGCTTTTTGTGGGATTAAAACCTGATGGTTCGAATGGCCAAATACTGTACTATGCCACTTCATGTAGATATTGACACTAACTTCATAAGTTTGGGGTCAGGTTCTTCTTTTTTTTAAATAAATGAATTCCTTAAAGGGGTAGTTCACTTTTAAAAACACTTTTGCTGATACTTTACTCACCCCCATGTCATCCAAGATGTCCATGTCTCTCTTTCTTCAGTCGAAAAGAAATTAAGGTTTTTGATTAAAACATTCCAGGATTTTCCTCCATTTAATAGACTTCAATGGGAACCAAAAGACAGTTTCAGTGCAAACTGCAAACTGTTCAAAGGGCTTTAAACGATTCCAGACGATGAATAAGGGTCTTATCAAGCGAAATGATCGCTCATTTAAAAAAATATAACAAAGTTTAAGTTTTATAAGCTCAAATGGTCGCCTTGCTCCGTTCTTTGACACGCGTTCCTGTTCAATCAAAATGAGCGAATCTTTTCCGGAGTCAATTTGTTCATTTCGTTCATTGCATGAATCAAATGACATGAAAAAAGATTCGTTCATTTTGATACACAAGTTCGAACAAGAGAGTCACGAACGCGCATCACAGAACAGAGCAAGGCGAGCGTTTGAGCTTATAAAACTTAAACTTTGTTATTTATTTATTAAATGAGCGATCGTTTCGCTTGATAAGACCCTTATTCATCGTCTGGATTCGTTTAAAGCCCTTTGAACAGTTTGCAGTTTGCACTGAAACTGTCTTTTGGTTCCCATTGAAGTCCATTATATGGCGAAAAATCCTGGAATGTTTTCATCAAAAACCTTAATTTCTTTTCAACTGAAGAAAGAATGACATGGATGACACTTAAATTATCAACAAAAGGTTTTTTTTAAAAGTGAACTACTCCTTTAATTCAGCAAGGATGCATTAAATTGATCAGAACTTACAGTACATGACATTTCACATAAATGCTGTTCTTTTGAACTTTCTGTTCATCAAAGAATCCTGAGAAAGTGTATTAAAGTTTCCTCAACTGTTTCAATGGATTGACTTTAATTGGAAGACTGGATTCAGCTTTGCCATCACATGTGATTTAAAATTGTAATATTGTGAAATATTATTACAGTAAAGGCTGATCAAATAAATGCAGCTCCTGTGAGCAGAGGATACCTCTTTGAATAACATTGAAAAACCAGACCGATCCTAAACTTTTTTACGTTATTGTAGGTGGTTTTCGATTTTTCTTGAATTTAGTTGATTGTAAAAAGTTTAGAGATGAAGTCAATACAAGTGTCCCGTCTTTGTTTAATAGTGCAGTTGGAGAGTAAAGCAATAACTTGCATTTTATATACAGTGCTGTATTGAATACAGTATATGCAGTAGATGAGATGTTCAGTTTTATATCATCTAGTTGCTTGGACGCCTGTTTTGACTGAGATTAGAAACACCGTGGCTTGTGTTTTTGCCATTTAGGATGTCAAACTTCTCATTTTCAATAACGTCTGCTGGACTCATCTACTGTAGATGTCATGCTCTTTATCAAATATTAAATGTATATTATGTATCAGTGGTGATGACACTGGGCGATATTTCCCGCCGCCTTTGAACATCCTACAAAGCGGGAGATCAATCATCATTTGTATGCCATATGTTTTGCACATTGTGTATATATTTTAATGGATGTAATACATATTTTTATACATCGTCTGGCGCATCCATGAGCTATATTTTGTGAATAGTTTTAAAGATACGACTATATACGCCATCACGTGTCAATGAAAATGTATGTATTGTGAAAATACTGTCATAAATGATGTTTTAGAGTCTCTTAAATATATCAGAGGAATGACATGCAGAAAATGTGTCTGTTATTGTTTATTTGCCACAAGAGATGTTTTTTTTCTATTCTGAGTATATATGACACATTTTTTCAAATGGGACTCTTAGGGTCTTCATGATGCATTAGAAAGTTTCATTTACAAAAATAGTGACATTTATTTACAATATATTTCCTATAACTGTCCTTAAGGCTCATTTACCTGACTATTAGTGATATATAAATATTTGTAGAATCACAAATGTCACTCAAACCTGACCATTCCAGTTTGAATATATTATGCTGTTAAAAAAGACATTGTATTGATAAACATCGAATCTCTCAAGGGCTTGGATTGTTATCCAGATCATTGTTACTATCCACATTGTTCATGCCTGTATGTATTTCAAATATTGATACTTTAGGAGTATTTTAATTGAGGAGACGTAATGCTTTACATTTCAAAAACAAAATGAAATGAAGAAATAAAGACCCACTCCAAGGCATAGTGATGATTAATAAACTTGTCAACTGGTTAAAGCGATTCACACTAAGTTTAACCCATTCAACTGTATAGCAAACAACTCTGGTTAATAAACCATGATTTGGTCATATCTGACTCAAAATGAGCCAATATGCTACATGATTTGCGTACTTCTTCCATCACAACTCATGACTAGCTATCACCCTATAAGCATGTCATTAGCACAGTTATTAATTGCTTGACTGCATCTCAAAGCATACATTGGCTTCCCAAACAATTCTGTCGCTAGAATAGAGATAAAAAATCCCTTTCTCTGTAAAACACGCTGTGCTCAGGCTCCTCTGATGTTGTTACAGTCACAGTATCACCGATCTGAAACATTATGCTCAAAACCTATTTACTGCACAGATGTCTTTGTGGCAGGACGGACAAATGTGGGCGACATCTTTGAAGCGATCCATACAGAAGGGGACCAGGCAACATCCGGCCAGACACCTGTGCCAGAAACAAACAGAAAATTTTCTTTACTGTTCTGGAATTGTAGAAATAGTTAGAAAACTTAATAGTTACTTAAGTTTTAAGTAGTAAAATTGCCTGCTTTGCAGATTCACTAGAGAGGAACAATCTCCTTGAATAATGAAGAACAGTAATTTAATGAACAAAACAATACATGGGAGGAGGAATATCAACAAGAGTGGTTCTTGAACAGTTTCACCCAGTTAGTGTTTCAAATTACTGTTTCCGAGCCAGGTCAGTGTTCAGGGCTTGTATCAAACTGCAAAAGTCATGTGATTACAGTAAACAAGGACTTTGACAAGGCTCAAAGGAGAAGTTCACTTTAAAAAAAAAAAACTTTGCTGATAATTTACTCACCCATGTCATCCAAGATATCCATGTCATTCTTTCTTCAGTCGAAAAGAAATTAACGTTTTTGATGAAAACATTCCAGGATTTTTTTTAAAAGTGAACTACTCCTTTAAGTAGGCTACATAAGTGGTGACAGATGAGTCTTTGAATCGTCCATCAGATCGATCATCGATCAAATCGATTGAATCATTCAGCAACAAATTGAAGGGATAGTGGAAAGATCCTGTCTTCATTTACTCAACCTCGTGTCTTTACAAATCTCTCTGAATATCTTTATTCTGTGAAACATTATTTTAAGAAATGTCTGTTTTGTTTTAAAAAACAGTTTAGTTACCCAGATGTTTAAAAAATGTTTTCTTTTGTGTTCCACAGAAGAAGTCATATGGTTTTGAAACAACATGAGGGAATTTTTATTTTTTGGGTGAACTGTTTCTTTAAGTGACTGTCTCTAAGTGAGTCGTCGAATCATCCACTCCATTTGGATAAAAACATTCATTCAGCCTGTGTTGCTCAACGTTCTGCCGTGTTTATTTCCGGCTGACTATTTCCATTGACGGAGTAAAAATTGATTTGGCAAACTGGCAAAACTGAATAAAACGTGAGTTATTACCTTAGTTTATTGTTTATTGTACACTAGGCTACATTCACAGTCGTTTGTCTGAATATCAACACGACTGTTTTACTTGCTATATTCGGATCAACAGCGGTCTTTCTCGGTCAGTGACCCTGCAAACATGCCCCTGCGGGGCCGACGCTGGCTTTTTGTGGGCACAGTGGGCTAGGGCCAGCCCACGCCAAACCTAAACAGGCCCAGTGCGGGTTGCCCAGACGAGGCCCACAGCTTTGGGCTCACTGCGGGCTATCAGTGAGCAGCCCACACTAGCGGGCTGCCCACATTAAGCCCATGATGGCCCACTGTGGGCCATCCCATTCGGGCCCATGAGCAGGTTTTGCACCTTTGGGCCCATGCGGGTTTAGTTTAGGTAGCCCACATTTAGATTTGCCCACATGCCCACAATGTCGTCAGTACGTCCTCTAATCATAATAACTTGGTAATTTTAATTCTCTTTAAAAAAAATTTAAACAATTTAAATATATATATATATATATATATATATATATATATATATTTAAATTGTTTCAAAATGTTTTATTTTTTTAAGATATATATATATATATATATATATATATATATATATATATATATAAGAGAATAAGAAAGCACTCTTTATATAAAGATGGTAATGAAATTACGGGCCTGTTGCAGTTTCATTCCACACTTTATGTTAGCCTACATATTTATATTACACGTTGCTCTTGACTTTATATTACATGTAGGCCTTTATATAATACAGATGTCATGAAATTGCTTTACAATAAAAGTAAAAGCAAAATGGTATTAAAAAGCATAATTGTCAACTGAATGGGTCATAGAACTACACAATGAGTTTAAATTCATTATATAAAATTAATGATATTTTAAATTGTTAAATGTTATAATTCTAGATGTTTATTTAAATGTTGCGTGCCTTTGGACGTGTTCTATGGTTTCAATATGGGCGTACGTGCGCGAGTCGCATTCAAATCTGATTCAAAGACAGGAGCGCGCGCGAGCAGATGGAAACCATGGAAACGAGGAAACCCATCAACTGACAAACAGCAAACTAGCGTCTCTCACTGTTGTTTTCTCTGCTTTCAGGTAAGTCTAGTTACCAAAATCACACAAATAATACATACAAACCTTCCTGATATATGTCTTACGTGTAATTGATACACTTCTGTTGAATATTTACTTTATAGAAATAGTTTTGTGTCTTCGATAAAGTCCGTTAGCATCTGACTGAACCGTTTTCAGAAGAGCTAACGTTAAGTTGTTTACGTTACAATTGAGCTCTTGTTTTACATAAGTGTGGGTTTTTAACCACATTTTTGTGTTGATAACAGTTTTTGATAGTTTTGTTTTGCTGGTAATTTGTCAATGGGTGATTGGAAGTTAGCTAAGTTAATTTATTTAACCTTGAAAGAATTCATTGTAACGTACTTAATGACGTCATTTACAAATATTGGTAATAAGTGATTTCAGAAGGAACAGGAAAAAAAAACACAACAAAGGGGAATTATTGTTTAATCATGATAATTATTTCATATGCATTATTGCACAATATATTACCTTAACATTTTTTATGTATATTCTTTAGCTATGCTCTAGCTTGCTTCCTTGTATTAAACCCTTTGTTCTATTGTAAATTCAATGTAATATTGTTGGCTCTGTGACACATTGCATGTTATTTTCTTGAAGATCATCATAGATGTCCTGCTGCACCCCCTGGGGTCCAAGACAATCTCCACGGCTATGACCTCGACTATAGTAAGCAAAACTTCATACATACTGTTTAATTGTTGTGGGTCTGTAGGATTTATTATTTTGAATGAAGTCTCTCACTTTAAATTCATTAATTACAGTTTTTTTCAGTGACATTGTACTTGAGAAGCTAAATAATAGGTGGCAAATATAATGTTATAATAGTCATAGTTATAATAATTCAGGATAATAGTCATGGGTATATATATATATATATATATATATGTATATATATATATATATATATATATATATATATATATATATATATATATATATATATATATATATATATATATATATATATATATTATTTTTTTATTTTATTTTTTCTCTGGGTGTGTTTTTAATTATGTTGGCCAATGAGACACCATACTGTCCAACTCAAAGCTATTTTTTTATGTATGTTTGACTGATAAATACTGAAATTCTTTTTACTTTCAAATGCTGAATTCAGGGGGTTATGGCTGTGCTCTTGTTACCAGATGAGATATCATTTGATCCTGTGATTCTTCAGGACAAGATCTTGATGCCATCCACACCCAGTACATGACGAAGGTGAGTTTCACAATAGCTATATCACCATCACAAACCAAGAGGCCAAACACAACAGGCCTTCATCCATATGAACTCACCCATATGTAGGAATAGGTTCCGAAACCCGGTATTAAACATTAAACGGGCCCTGGGGCCAAATTAAGGAAGACTGCAGTATCGATAAGCTCAGATGTTATCAGTTCTGCTGACGGTACTGAAGAAATTACACACACACTGTTTATTATAGACATTATCTTGTGTCATTGTCATGTGTTTTTCAGGCTGGTTGTTTGTCATTTTGTAAGAGTAGAGAGAGGCTGTACCTCAGTGAAGACTTATTTTACATTAGATAATTCAATTTCCGTACCTGATAAGTTAGATTTTCCGAAAAAAACTTCATGCACTGCTTATTTCAATTGTATTTTTCTTCTATTGAATTTATCAATACTTGTAATTTGTTATAATTTTCAATGCAGATTCACTCAATAATCTCTTGAAATTTGTTTTTATATCGCAATATATATAGCAGCAGATAAACAAAATATTTTATTTAAGGTTTTTAGTATTGTGCAGCTCTAATATTGAGCATTTAACCTGATTGAACCTGGAATTGTTATAATAACCTGGAATAATTTGTGATACCAGATGTATGATTATGTATGATAGATTTTGAACTGTATTTTTTTTTTTTTTTTTTTTGCAGGTTTTCTGGGATCCACAGTGGAAGGCATCAAGGCGTGAGATGTTGGCTGGACAGATGTACCTGTACACCACACCGACCTCTGCTTTTACATGGATGGCGGATTACTATCATGTTCTGTAAAGGTTTCATTATAGCAAAACAGAGCACCTGTGACAGTGGAATCTGTAGGTGTAACGTAGTCAGTTAAAAGTAGTCAGGTGTAAAGTAGTCACAGAGAGAACTTTTTTTTTTTTTAAGTTTCAAACTTTTTTCTCTTTCACAAAAAACACTGCAGTTACAGCTTTTCAAATTCTTCATTGGAGGTGTACAAATAATTTTCTTTTTTTCAAATCACAAAAAGGGCTGTGCAAAAATTAATTGCAATTAATCGCATCCAAAATAAAAGTCTGTGTTTACATAATATATTTGTGTGTGCTGTATATAATTATTTTGTATATATAAATACCTATGCATGCATGTATATATTTAAGGATTATTTGCACTTAAATTCTGTGTATATATATATATATATATATATATATATATATAAATACATAATCTATATTATATAAATATAAATATTTTATATATGAATAACACATTTTCTTAAATATATACATGCATGTGTGTGTATTTATATATACAATATAGGGCTGTGTAACGATTAATTGCATCAAAAATAAAAGTTTGTGTTTACATGATATATGTCTGTATAATTATTTTGTATATATAAATACACACATATGCATGTATATATTTAAGAAAAATGTGTTATTGATATATCAAAGATTAATATTTATGTATAATATTAATTTTGTATAAACATATATACAGTACAAGCATGCAAATATTTCTTAAATATATACATGCATGTGTGTGTATTTATATATACAAAACAAGTATACACACTACACAAACGTATATAATTTATGTGAACACAAACTTTTATTTTGGATGCGATTAATCGCCATTAATCGTTTCACAGCCCTAATACAAAATAATTATATACAGCGCACACAAATATATTATGTAAACACAGACTTTTATTTTGAATGCGATTAATCGCAATTAACTTTTGCACAGCCCTGTAAGAAATGTATGCTGACATTTAAGGCACGGCCACACGGGGGGTTTGAGCATATGTGACTGTGAATGAAAAGTGAAGTGTGACCACATGAGAATAGCCAAACAGTATAGATGATTCACAAAATTATACACCAAGAAATGTGCATAATTGGCCAAAATGTTACTGTTTAGCAACAAAAATATGACCCTATGAGTTTGGTAATTTTTAGAATAGGATTTGTGCACCTGCAATGAAGATTTTAACTGATGTTTTGTGTAACTGATGTGTTGTGTTTGTGAGAGAGAGAGAGAGAGAAAGCAAAGAAAAAGAGGTTTGCAACTCATAAAACATTTTCTCGAAGACTAAAAATCTACAAATTGCACTGTTATAGGGACTCTGTTTAGCTTCAATATTACTAGATATAATACAGTGTCAATCTTATTAACTACTATTTATTTTGTATAAAATCATATACAGTATACAGGTAAAAAATTTGGAAACATTTTGGAAGAAGTCTATTCTGCTTATCAAGCTTGCATTTATTTGCATTTATTTAAAAAAAAAAACAGTAATATTGTGAAATTTTATCATAATGTAAAACAGCTGTTTTCTATGTTTCTGTTTTTTATGTGAATATATAATAGTGTAATTATATTATATATAATAACCTGAATTTAATGTTTTATGTTTTGTAATTAATAAATACATTGATTTGAAATCCCTTTGACTTCTGTACATTTGTGAAAATACAGAAATTAGTTATGTGGTGACTGCATTCAGATGTATAGAATAATTGTTTTTCCCAAAGACTTATAGTTATATTAGCCAAAAAGTATTTATAGTGAAACAGATTAATTGTGAACTAGATCTATTGTTGTAGATGCCCTGTGTGTGCGGTGCGGGCCCTGTGAGGGCTTAGTGAGGGATTCCTTGGGGCTAAGTGAGGGCTGCCCATGCAGGGCCAACGTTTTGTGGGCCCAGTGTGCGGGCCCTGTGTGGGTTTAGTGAGGGCTAAGTGAGGGCTGCCCATGCAGGCCCAACGTTTTGCCAATGAGCAAATTCTCATGGGCCCTGCGCTAGCAGCCTGCAGGGGGCCCTTAGGCTAGCCCTAAGTGGGCCCGGACAGGGCCAGTGCAGGCTTGTTTGCAGGGGACTGACTGATTCTTCATTGTTTAGTAGCTACTCACCCCACCACAGACAAGAGACAGCAAAAGAGGAAGGCATTGCTGCCCACTTTATAGCGAATCTCAGTAGTGACGGTCTTATGGCAAGAAGGGCATTTCACGTTGGCAGGGGACATGGTGACATCTTCAAGTTTTACTGTGGTCTCTGGGAAGGCGAAACAGGTTCATTTTGTTTAAATGTATTCATCATATGGAAACAAATTCTATGGCTATCTTAAAGGGATAGTTCACTTTGAAATAATTTTTGATATGTTTTAGCTTACCTCAAGGGCATCCAAGGTATAGGTGTCTTTGTTTCCACAGTAGTTTCAATTTTTTATATTTTTAGGTCAAACCATTCGTGTCTGTCTGTCATATAGTGCAGTTCTATGGCCACCACCTCAAAGAGCATGCACAGAGAAGTCCAAATTAACATGATTTAATTACTCGTAAATGTAAGTACACATTGATGGCTCAAGACACGAAACGAGTGGTTTGTGTGAGAAAACGAACAGTATTTATTGTTTTTACCTCTCGTAATCACAGCCACGTCCGTGATCTGAGGGCGTGGGCTCTTTGGTCTACGCAAGCGCCGGAAAGTGATCTCTTCGGAAGGGAAGAAGAGTTTGCGCGAGCATACGTAATGGGCTCTATGCACTGCGTTATTTCCGGTGAAGGATTAAGGATGCTCGATAAATTCCGCCGATCATAGAGTCCAATGCAATACCGAGAATTTATATTGAATTTTATACTCCATGCCATGGTTATACTAAAGAAATGTTAGTCACAAAAACAGATAAAACAGACACCCCTCATTGTGTTTATGCTTCTTTTTAAAATTATATTAAATAAACATAACTATATATAAAATTACATCTAAACGTATGTACGTTTCGTTTCAAAGACGGGAGGACAGTAAATATTGAAGACTCTGCCATAATCCCGTTTTCACCGGTTTTCCTCTGCTTTAATCTACACAACCGGAAATGGACGAGCATCCTTACGTCAAATGCGGAATTTATGCGTGCATATAGCCCATTGTTTTTTTTTATAAGCTCAAATTAGTACCATTTTAATTAGCCTTCTTACCTACAATATTTTTTTCTGTGTAAACAATGAGTGACGTACACACACGAGAGATCACTTGCAGGGGTTTCCGCCGCTTTTGCAGACCGAAGCGCCCACGCCTTCAGATCACTTGGAGGTGGCTGTGGTTTAAAAAAAAATAAATAAATACTGCTCGTTTTCTCACACAAACCGCTCGTTTCCTGTCTTATGCCGTCAATGTGTACTTACATTTACGAGTCATTAAATCATGTTTAATTTGGACTTCTCTGTGCATGCACTTTGAGGTGGTGACCATAGACCTCCATTATATGGCTGACAGACAAGAACGGTTTGACCTAAAAATATTAAAATTGAAACTACTGCGGAAACAAACACCTACATCTTGGATGCCCTTGAGGTAAGCTAAAACATACCAAAAAATTATTTCAAAGTGAACTATCCCTTTAATCCAAGACATTTGTATAGTATTTGCCCTGCAACGTGTCAGTTGTGACGATTGTACAACAATGTATTATCTTACCTGTGTTTTCTTCTTGCAGAGCACTGATAGAGGAAATAGTTCCTGTAGGTGAAATGGTAAGAATGTAGTTTGTGGATTGTGGAGCTTTTCCATCTCAAATCGTGAGTATATCATACTAAATAATTCATGTTATATTTGCAACACCTGTTTTTTCCATTTGGAGAGCATTAGGAGAAACAGGAAGAATGTAGAGTCCTTGTACTGCAGCCTGATTCGGATCTGTCACACCATAACACAACATAAGATAAATAGTGTTACATTTGCATACTAATGACGGGAAATGTTCCAAAACAGAAACAGTTTTACAAAACATAATGCTTTTTGTGTATCTCTTGTGTATGCTTTTCTTAAAGCATATCGTTTAATTGAAATGTTCAATGTTCTGAATATTTATATTAATATAAAAAATCATGAGATGTGTTTTGAGGACAGATTTACATAATAATGTGCAGAAATATGAAAATTTGTGTTTCATGGGTTTAAATTATTTTTCTTAAGGAGTAAAATGTGCGTTTTTCCCCCTTAGAAATGTAATTGACTAAAATACTTTTAAATAAATTGAATTAGTACTTGAGTCATTTACATACTTTAAGTCATTTAAGATAATACATATATATAAAAATATATGAAATCCTTTTTTACATTTTTCACAAGCTTGTTTTTGCCTTTCTGTTTTCTACTTTATTTTTAATCATCTAGACACATGCCTTTGTCTGTGAACTGTGTTGTCGACCATTTGCTGTTTTTCTCAATAAGATCCTTCTCTTTTTGCTCCAGTAACTCCAACTCCTCCTCGATTTTGTCCAGTTCTGAAGGGCCATCTTCGTTTGCAAGGTTACCTAAAAGCAAAGAAATATGTAAAACAACCAAATTATTGTTTGTACTAACTAGTCAAATGTAAGCATGAAGATGAATGACAGCCAAAGACTCATTGCAATTTGAATGCTTATATCCTGGCAAAGGTGCAGCTACTTTAGCAGTGTTGTAGTACTCGAGACTCGGACTCGGTCTCGAGACCATATTTCAATGGTCTTGGTCTTGTCATGGACTCGTGTCCATTTGGACTCGGAATTGACTCGTACTCGAACATTTTTTTTTTAGGACTCGGAATTATTCCAGAGTCCACTCGAGTTCAATTAAAAATATTTTTCATGATTATTAATGTATGTTAATAAAATATTTCTTTAAATTGATTGACACGCCCAGTGATTGGTGATTTTCTAGTGCGCAACTGCGCATGACAAATTGTAATAAAATTACTTTTAACACCACCTACTATGTGGCCTTTTTACCCTAAACTGATCATATTTTTTAAACTCTAAGTAAATTCAGTAAAAAAAAAAAAAAAAAAAAAAATTTCTCTAAGTAAATAAAAGTAAATTAGGTAATCAACCCTCACTGGTCTCGGTCTCGACTCGGACTCGACCGTCTCTGGTCTCGGGCTCGACTCTCTATGGACTCGGTCTTGACTCGGACTCGACTCTCTCTGGTCTCGATGTCGACTCGGACTCGAGTGAGGTGGTCTCGACTACAACACTGTACTTTAGTATTAAGAGAGAAAGAATAATTGCACTCCATTCTTTGCATGTTTTATTGCGGAAGGGAAAAAGCCACATGCTGATGCACCGATGAAGTCTTTGAGCCGGCCGAGTGGTTTTAAATACCTCCAGTAATGTTTGATCAAACTAATCAAGGTACATTTTAATGGTCAGTCATTTCTTAAAAATCGAGTTACCTTCTATTTTGGAGTTCCTCTTTTGGACCTCCTGTAGAAACTGAAGGCGTTGTTGGAGGTGTTGTCGTCTGAAGAGGATGTTCCACAGGTCTGTGGTATCTTCATCAGAGTCCTGCGGCAGCTCTGCGGTCATGGTATTGCCTCCCTGGAGGCCAAATTACATCGCTTTACAATCTAATTTGTACATATTTACATTTTGACATAAGGGAAAGTCCAACTGTTCTTCATTTGCAGCCATCTGTGGATTTGCAGCTGCAATAATAGGTTAGCAAGCCATTTAAAATGACCTGGACCTCAAAAAAAATGAATTTAAGTCACAATTGTTGACTAAGATATTAACGCAATTGTTCAGTAAGTTAACCCTTGAATTTAGTAACTTGTGGATCATCCTTCAGCAGAAAATCCTCCACCAAACACATTTTTCCCCTAAAAAGGGGTTGTGTATTTTTGCCAGAAAGTTCAGCTTTCATCTCAGCAGTCCAAAGAACATTTTCCCTGAAGCATTCTGGAATATCCGGGTGCCAAATCTGAGTCTCCTATGTGTTGTCCTTTCATAAGGTGCAGTTTGTTCTTCAGTGTTTTTTCTGATGTTGGACACATGAACAATGACTAGCAGTTTGTGAAGGTCTTTTGCTGTTCTCCTTGGATTCTTTCCCACCTCTTTCGGGATTGTACATTATGTTCTTAGTGATCCACTCCTAGGGAGATAAGCAACTGTCCAGAATTTTCCACATTTGTAGACAGGGATTTATGAACTCCCCGGTCTTTAGAAACTCTTTTGTAGCGTTGTGTTTTTAGTTAAGCATTATAGCCAATCTTTCTTCAGATCAGATTTATTAGTAACCATTTTTTTGTGCCTTTATTTAAATGGCAGGGCACCTGTGTGACCATCACTTTCAATCTTATCTCTTTAATTTACATCAATTTATCTTTTGGAGGTTACTTTTGGTTCACTTACTTTCTCCACCTGTACAGTGAATAATCACCCAATGTCTGTTTGTGTATTAGTAAGTCAGATTGTTTTTGTCTTTAAGATCATATTGAATTCTATGATAAATCCTAGGGCTGCTGCACGATATTAGAAAAAAACTGCTATGTATAATATATTAATAATATATTCAAGATTTGTTATCACAAACACAAACCACAAACATTTTTTTCTTTTGTCAAATCAACTTAAATAATTTATTTAGTTCAGATAACTTATTATTTTAAGTTTCTGATGATTAAATCAATATCCTTCATTGTATTAACTCACTTTTTCCAGTTCAATCAACTTAAAATTGTAAGGCAACTAGGTTACTTAATTTTTTAAGTTAAACTAACAATATTTTTTTTTACAGATATTACGGTTTCACCAGATAACTGGAAAAGCTCTATATGGAAAGAATAAATCATTCTAGGATAATCGAGTTGATTTTGTAGGAGAGTGTGTCTGTGTAAAATAAAAAACTGCAACCATTATGCAACTGAACAAAGATACAAATGAAACAAAGAGCGCTTTAAGTTTTTCAGTTAAGTCTAACAGAATAATCAAACTAACACTGGATAGTCTTCACTGTATTAATTCAACAATTAATCTTTGTTAAAGCAACAAAATTGATTTTCTCTTTGTATTGTGTTGTTTGAAACAGCCGCAGGTTTAATAAGCTGCCGTCACTTTAATAGCTAAAGCTCCTAATACAATTTATTGATTCGCATGCGTTTTCTTTCTCATTTGTTTACGTTCACAAAAGCCGCATGTGATTGTGTTTACGAGGATACTTGCTGAGACTGGTATTTTAACATTATTTTGCATGTAAGTGAATTCTGAATTAGTTTTCTTTCATGTGTTCTTGCGCTCCAATGGTTTTAAATTGCTTGAATGGACCTTAACCATGTGCAAATGATCAACTTTCACACTATGAGGGTTAAACTTTGCAGTTAACCCAAGAATCAAGTGCGTTTCGAATCCCTATACATGACATCGCACATAGCGATATAAATCGATCGATCGTGCAACCCAAACAATCAATGCAGAAATCCACAAGTTTTCAAAGGGTTCAGACAGCAACAGTCAAACATTTGGACACACTTTTTGATCTTAAAAACATTTGATGTGCTTTAATGCATGAAATTTGTATTTAGATAAATATAAATTGTCCAGTACAGTAAATAAAAGCAACTAACAAGTTCTAAACATGTGAAGTTCTTCATTATTTTGGACACTCATTAAGGTGACAATATTTTTTTTCCCCCAATTTGTATTTATTTAAAATTTTGGGGCAATACATATTTGTTTTTTCATAGACTTTAATATTACCGTAATGTTAATACTAAAATGTCAAAAACCTCTGATTTGTTACATTTTACTGCCAGGTGTGACAGTGATAGTTCACTATATCTTTAACTAAACACATCAGCCTACAAGACTTTGGACAAACAGTATGTGTATATATTTCATGTTCAGTTTTCAGTGTATCGAGCACCGTTTATGATGAACATACCCGCAAGCAAAAACAATTTAACATTTAAATGTTGGGCACATCACATTACCTGTAGGCAATAGGATGCTGTGTTTGCTTGGCCAGTCATAGTCCAGCTCCAGTCCTGGAAAAGTTGACAGTATTGAAGAATAATCAGAATTCTCAATTTTTTTTTATTCCTCTCGCCGTCCTTCTTCAGCAGTTCTCCTTATGCTGGAGTGTTTTGCAGTCTTTGAATATTTCCCCATGACTGCTTATGCCTTCATCCTCATATTGGTGTGAATGTCAGTCATAATATCAGATAAAATACTACAGAAAGCTTAAATGACATCCAATTGTTCAGATAATATTCGCCTATCCTTCACCGTTTCTGTTGTGAGAGCTAAACAAGCCACAATACGATTTTCATGATGGTTTGAATGAATTTTCATAATCAAATTTGCAAAGGGGTGACGTTCTGACTGTAAACTGGTTTGTGTGTGTATGGTTGGTTACTTGTTAAATGGTATGACATAACATGGAAGATGCTATTCCTTATAGGTGTATATGTTTGTTTGACTGTGTCTGGTTTAAAAGAATTTTCAAATGATGAGGAAAATCATGAAAAAGCATGAGCACATAATTTATTTTTAGGTCATAACATAAATTATTGTTTCAGTTTTACATTTTACTTCAGGTCTTTTTTTTAAGCGACATCTTGTTACCTTTCATTAGGACACATTTCATTGAAAAGTGTTCCAAAAGAAGTTGACTAAAATAAAGGCTTTATTCATTGTTTCCTGTGGGTCACCTGTAGAGGTCAGACTTTCACAGGGACAGATGAAACGCTGTGTTGGGAGAGCTGTTCTGGTCTGCTGTTAGCATTTGATTTTGCAAATTTGGTTTTGAATGTGAACTTGAAGAATTAGAATTAAATTAAATGTAATCCATATACAAATAAAAACTGCTTTAGCGGCTGTTGATTGTTTTGACATATTCTATAGACTATCTTAGTTTAGAGAAATGTGTCTAATGCAGTGTTATTAGGGCCCAAGCCCTGAAGGGGCGAAGGCCCTATTGTTTTCCTTGGGATTATTAGGGCCCAAGCCCTGAAAGGGCGAAGGCCCTATTGTTTTCCTAACGATTATTATTATTATTATTATTATTTATACGACTATTTGGGCACTTTTGGGGCCCTTAACATGCTCAAAAACTCTTGAAACTTTGCACACGGGTCAGAATCCGCGGCCATCAGGGCTGGGCTGAAGATGGTACCCGGGCGTGGCAGGGGGGCTAGACAGCGCCCCCTGGAACGGGGTCCGAAAACTTGGTCCATAACTCAAATACGCTTGCATGTAATAATATGAAACTCGGTACACATGTTGATCTCATCGTTCATATATACCTCAAACTATTACTTTTTACCCCAGCCCAACAGGAAGTCGGTTATTTAGGGTTGTTCATAAAACACTCGCAATGGAATTTGAAGTACTCCTCCTAGAGAATTCAAACACACGGCACGAAACTCGGTCAGCATGAAGTCAAGGCATTGAGGATGAAAGTTTGCGAGGGGATTTTTGATATCTCGAACGGTTGGCCGTGGCGAGGAAACGAACTTATGGCGATAATCGTGAAACAGGAAGTGTGTCAGAACTTCAGCATACATTAACTGATCTTGATGAAACTTCAGCAGTTTGTTTGCTGTAAGAGGACGATCACATGGATGTGAATATTGTGAGTCAAAGTTATAGCGCCACCAACTGGCAGCAGGAAGTGTGTCACTTTCAAAATGCTTTGAAATCACCCTCTTATTTTTACCCGATTTGCTTCAAACTTAATCTGTATAATGTAAATACATAGCAGATGAAGACCTGTGAATGGATTCTTGATATCTTTGATACTGTTGCCGTGGCAACGCATCAAACTTTAAAATTCTTTTTTTTTGATGATTTTGAGACTCTTAGCGGCTTTTGGGGCCCTTAACGGGTTTGAAAACTCTTGAAACTTTGCACACAGGTCAGATCCCACAGCCATCAGAGCCGGGCTGAAGATGGTACCTGGGTGTGGCAGGGGGGCTAGACAGCGCCCCTGGAACGGGGTCCGAACACTTGGTCCATAACTCAAACACGCTTGCATGTAATAATATGAAACTCGGTACACATGTTGATCTCGTCGTTCATATATACCTCACACTCTTACTTTTTACCCCAGCCCAACAGGAAGTCGGCTATTGAGGTTTGTTTGTAAAACGCTCGCAATGGAATGTGCAATACTCCTCCTAGAGAATTCAAACACACGGCACGAAACTCGGTCAGCATGAAGTCAAGGCATTGAGGATGAAAGTTTGCGAGGGGATTTTTGATATCTCGAACGGTTTGGCCGTGGCGAGGAAACGAAATTATGGCGAGAAACGTGAAACAGGAAGTGTGTTATAACTTCAGCATACATTAACTGATCTTGATGAAACTTCAGCAGTGTGTTCGCTGTAAGAGGACGATCACATGGATGTGACTATTGTGAGTCAAAGTTATAGCGCCACCAACTGGCAGCAGGAAGTGTGTCACTTTCAAAATGCTTTGAAATCACCCTTTTATTTTTACCCGATTTGCTTCAAACTTAATCTGTATAATGTAAATATACGGCAGATGTAGACCTGTGAATGGATTCTTGATATCTTTTAAACTGTTGCCGTGGCAACGCATCAAACTTTACCATTCTTTTAGGATGCTTTTGAGACCCTTAGCATGCTTCAAATCGCATGAAACTCGACAGACACATCACATTTATTAGCCAGTAGACATGTGCAAAGTTTCAGAAACGGGTGTGGTGAGGGCTCAGTAGCACCACCTTTTGACAAAAGTGGGGTTGTTAGTTTTAACTAGAGTTACAAAAATCGGTATGTATATTGTACTCCTCGAGCCGGACAACTTTCTAATTGACACTCATTAGCTAGGACCCACAGAAAGTCAGATATCTTTGTTTGAATGTAGAGAAAATCTTAGAATTTTGCCAGTCTCTCAGTGTCTCTCTGTGTGAGTGAGAGGAGGGGCGCCTGTCAGGTTAATTTTAACCCTTTATTTGCTGTGTGCGACTTCTCTGGCATTTTCGGGGCCTTAACATCCTCTAAAACTCTTGAAACTTTGCACACGGGTCAGAACCCATGGCCATCAGGGCCGGGCTGAAGCTGGTCATCGGGCGTGGCAGGGCGGCTCGACAGCGCCCCCTGGACTGGGATTCGAACATTTGTCCATAAATCAAACACACTTGCGTGAATTAATATGAAACTCGGTACAATTATATATCACATCAGGCCAAACAACTTTCGTGCTCTAAGTTTTACGACAATTAAAATGGAAGTTGAGAATTATGGGTTGTTTGAATAGTTGTCCTAGGAGAAATACATCAAATTACAACGCATGTGTTTACCAATAACAACCAAACTCGGTGTGCAAGAAGTCAAGACATTGAGGATGAAAGTTTGTGAGGGATTTTTGATATCTCAAACGGTTTGGCCGTGGCGAGGAAACGAAATTATGGCGAGAAACGTGAAACAGGAAGTGTGTTATAACTTCAGCATACATTAACATATCTTGATGAAACTTCATCAGTGTGTTCGCTGTAAGAGGACGATCACATGGATGTGACTATTTCGAGTCAAAGTTATAGCGCCACCAACTGGCAGCAGGAAGTGTGTCACTTTCAAAATGCTTTGAAATCAACCTCTTATTTTTACCCGATTTGCTTCAAACTTCATCTGTATAATGTAAATACATGGCAGATGAAGACCTGTGAATGGATTCTTGATATCTTTGATACTGTTGCCGTGGCAACGCATCAAACTTTAAAATTCTTTTTTTTTTGATGATTTTGAGACTCTTAATGGCTTTTGAGGCCCTTATCGGGTTTGAAAACTCTTGAAACTTTGCACACAGGTCATATCCCACAGCCATCAGGCCCGGGCTGAAGATGGTACCTAGGCGTGGCAGGGGGGCTAGACAGCGCCCCCTGGAACGGGGTCCGAAAACTTGGTCCATAAATCAAACACGCTTGCATGTAATAATATGAATGAAAAACTTCATCTGTATAATGATGAAAAAACAGATGAAAAACTTCATCTGTATAATGTAAACATACGGTAGATGTAGACCTGGAATGGATTCTTGATATCTTTTAAACTGTTGCCGTGGCAAAGCTTCAAACTTTGAAATTATTTTAGGATGCTTTTGAGACTCTTAGCATGCTTGAAATTGCATGAAACTCAACAGACACATCACATTTATTAGCCAGTAGACATGTGCAAAGTTTCAGAAACGGGCATGGTGCAGGGACTAAATAGCGCCACCTTTTGACAAAAGTGGGGTTGTTATTTTTATCTACAGTTACAAAAATCGTTATATACATTGTACTCCTCAAGCCAGACAACTTTCTAATTCATAGTCATTAGCTCAGACCAAGAGGAAGTCAGATATTTTGGTTTGAATATGGTGAGACTCTCTCTGAGCCTACGTCCGTGTATGGCAAGCCCTTTTAACATTTAAAAGCTAAGTTTGCCTATCCGGAAATTAACATTGTAGATATCAACAATGTCTTTCTGTCTAGTCGTAATTACATTTTGGATAGTTTGTATTATCATTTAAGATATCTGTAACATAATTGTGACTAGTCAAAATGACAGACTATGGCAAGCCGTTTTAACATTTAATCATGAAAGGGCCAAAGCCTTCGGCACCGCCACCCCGGTGCCTTTAGGTAACTAAAGGAGCCAGGGGTTGCGGTGCCACCGGCTTGGGCCCGCCATCGCTGCTCGCAGCTATATTTATTCTTCTTCTTCTTCTTTTTATTTTTCTGCTACCTTTTGGGCATTTTTGGGGCCCTTAACATGCTCGAAAACTCTTGAAACTTTGCACACGGGTCAGAACCCGCGGCCATCAGAGCCGGGCTGAAGATGGTACCCGGGCGTGGCAGGGCGGCTCGTCAGCGCCCCCTGGAACGGGGTCCGAACACTTGGTCCATAACTCAAACACGCTTGTATGTAATAATATGAAACTCGGTACACATGTTGATCTCATCGTTTCATCTATACCTCGCGCTCTTACTTTTTACCCCAGCCCAACAGGAAGTCGGCTATTGAGGTTTGTTTGTAAAACGCTCGCAATGGAATGTCAAATACTCCTCCTAGAGCTTTGATCCAAATTCGACTAAAACTCAGTCAGCGTGAAGTCAAGACATTGAGGATGAAAGTTTGCGAGGGGATTTTTGATATCTCGAACGGTTTGTCCGTGGCGAGGAAACGAAATCATGGCGAGAAACGTGAAACAGGAAGTGTGTTATAACTTCAGCATACATTAACTGATCTTGATGAAACTTCAGCAGTGTGTTCGCTGTAAGAGGACGATCACATGGATGTGACTATTGTGAGTCAAAGTTATAGCGCCACCAACTGGCAGCAGGAAGTGTGTCA